GATGAAATTCAAGGTTCCTCTATGTCACCATTCGCCGCAACAGAGCCAAGAAGAGGAAATGGCCAATCAGAGCCGGGATGAAGGAGTAGAGGAAGTTGGATGCCGAGAAACCACCACTATTCGTGCGTGCAAAGACCTGTGGAAGGAACCCGAGACGAACAGCGCTGTTGACAAAGCTGCCGACGTAGAAGGCAATGAGCAAGATACAAGCCACGACAACCCATGCAATGGCCGAGGTGTCCTTGAGATACCAAGGTAGGTATCGTAGTCGTACATCAGGGCTGCGAATATCCATACGTATGGAGAAGTCGTTGCCCGAAGCTGCAGTACGTTCGGCCTTCTCCCTGATCTGACCTTGCTCAACTGCGTAAGACCTCGTTTCTCCACCCTCCTCGCCAATGCCATAAAATGTATCAGTTGGCCGCTTCGTCGTAGTCCAGTGACCAATGCGATCTGCACGACCGCTAACCCGTTGCCAGTCAGCCTTTTCGAATGTTTCTGAGCCATTGTAGTCGGCAAGATTATTGGACCGTTCCAGGAATGAAATGATGTCGGCAAGAGATCGGGGATCCCATCGCAATCCACTTGGGTTACGAATCAAGAATACCAGCAAGACCAGCAATGCGATCACTAGGAGAATGTACAAAACAATGACAGTCCAGATGACGCCCTGTACGGCAGTCCATCTCCAGATGCTGCGCGTTACGTCGTATCGAACGTTGAAAGCAGAAGCGAGAAGGGGTATCGTCCAAGTGAAAAGCCAGAAAACCAGGTAACAAGACCCAACGCGGCGGTGACCGGCACGAAAGTGCTCGGTGTTGGGTAGCAGCCACTGCATGGGGTAGAGTCGTAAAAAGACGGCCTGAGAACGTCGATGGAAGGAATCAGAGGCCATGGAGACGAATGGCATAACTCGCTGAAGTGCTGTTTGGATCTGTATGAGCCAGAGCAAGACGAGTGCTCCGATCAACGTCGGTAGGTATTGGAAAATGAAGTAGCGACCGTCGCCAAAACTCCCGTAATCCCACAACCCAATTCCTCCACTGCGATTCGAGTAGATGGCGCTGAAGATCAGGGCAGCAAGCACGAGGAGGCACAGGAGCATGTAGAAACCTAGCCATACCGGTCGGAGGATAGCGGGAAGGAAGTGGAGTTGAGCGTTTGACGGGCTGGCCGCTACGAAGACATCTTTCTGTACTCGTGGGGAAGAAGGTCGAGGCTGAGACTGCTGCCGTTGGTGGGCAGGTGTGTTGTAGAACTGCTGCTGTGGTGGAGAGGCGGGCACGGGTGGCTGCGAGGAAGAGTGGGCTGCCTTTGGCGAAGTTGGCTTTGGGGACTGTGAGTTCTTGCGGATTTGCACCAGCTGAGCGCGACCTGAAGACGGTCGTCGCACATGTAAAGGGGCTTGCTGCGACATGCGCTGCTGGGTTCTCTGCTCCTGGGCCATGTAACCAAGACCGTGGTCTGGCACTATACGCTCGACTGGATAGTCGTCGTCATCCTCGTCTTGGACAGCCTGCCTGATCTCTGGGTATACCCTTGAGCCCCGTACTTCCTCATCTCGCGTGAGCTGGTCGATGGCAAATCGTATGTATGGTGTCGTGTCTTGGCCTGGTGTCGTAGCCAGCGACTCTGTGTCCATGTCTCGCACAGCCGAGTGTCGTGTGTCGCGTGTGCGTGGTCTCTCCTCAGCAATGGTGGAGACGGCGGGCGACTGGGGGCGTTCGTGTGTGTAGGTATGGGCTGGCTGCTGTCTAGGGATGCCCACGCCGCGAAGAGAGGTCGTCACTGGGGCTTCGGTTGATGGCAGCACCTGCTCATGACTCTGTGATGATGTTGGAGTGCGATTCTGCGACGGCGGAGTCTGAAAGAAAGGTCTCTTGTCCTCGCCAGAGCTCGAAGTGTTCTCCGAGGCGCTCCAGTAGCCTTCGGAGGCTGTGAGGGAAGCGGCAACCGACTGCAGTGAGTTTTGGTGGGAAAGCTGAGGCTGCGAAACGTTGGTCTGCTTGAGCTGGAATTCAGGACCCCCTTTCATATCTTCTCTGGCACACTAAACAAAGAGTGGAGTCGTCGTGCAGGAACGATGGGCATCATGTACCAGACTTCTGGCTGCCACGGAGTTGTTTTTCTACTTGGACATGGCTGGTCCGTCTTCCTGGAGGCTGGGGGAGGCTGGGCCAGGGTCAACCCAACACACACTGCCCTCACCATTGGTGCGACAGCTATTGTGCGCAAATGGATTGGACGGGGCCTGAGGAGAACAGGTTTTTGATGTTTCGGTGGTTCGCCATGCTGGCCCATTCGCTGGCCGGTTGCAAGTTGTGCTGAAGATTGGCTACGGGCTGCGTTGTCACTGACGGGCCTTTGCCTTCCCCGCCTTTGTGTGCCTGGCTGAGCACGCTTTGCCATGTTAGCGTTGCGCTAAATTAGCGTTGAGTACGGAGTACTTGAGTTCTTTCAACACCATGCCCACTCATGCCCACTGCATAACTGACCTTTCATAGTATTCGGCCGTTTTGAGCACCTGACGATGACATAGGATAGTAGCCATTCTCGCAACCAAATGTCCCACCGAATCTTTATCCCACAATGGCGGTGAGGTGGAAGTGTTCCCTATTGCCTGATTTCCTGCGTGCGACGGCGATCTTTACTTCGCCAGATCTTCATTTCACCACCTACTACATACCCTAACGAACGACAACATATCGGCCATTACTTAATTAAAAGCCACATGAACGCCTAGACGGAGTGTTTCCCATCTTGTGAAAGCACTTGTACTGTACTTTCATAACCCTAGCCCGTATTTACAGGGCTAGCATAACGCCCAATCCCCATATCACAGCGACTCCGACCGGTCCAAGTCTGTTCAGCCATCTGCTCCATTTTCCAAGACTCTGAGACGGCTGTAATATGGAAAAGAGGCCTTTTTTTTTATAGCTTATCTTAAGCCTTCTTGTATTCATGGTGGCTGCTACGATCCCGCCAAAACGGCCCCAAACCATCCATTCTAAGAGGTTGAGGCGCAAAATACGAATCTTCAGGTCCATTCCGAGTCGAGACGTCCCTGATCTCATACGAACTGTACTTCTGTTCGTGATACTATGAATCCATCTGAAGTGGCTGTACTGCCCATCATAGAGATTTATGACATGGACAGGGCATGCATCGAAACTAACAAAGAAAACGTCGCCACGGATCAGCGCTCCGTATAAAGAAATAAGTGTCAGTAATTTTATTGTTGCAGACAATTTTGTGCGCGGCTGAGAAGCTTCGCTTTTGACCGTCTTTTATCGACAACCGAAAGCATATCGCTACACCGGTAACCAAAACAAGGCGCAGTCCTCACACCAAACCACTTGCAGCACTCCTTGAGCACCAGACCTCTGCCGTAATTTCAGCGGCGCAAACAAGCTTCGAACATGGGATGAATACAATAGCGAGCAGCCCAAGTCTCCAGAATGGCGGGACATGGCTACACAGAATAGGTCAGGCGTGGACTACAAATAGGTACAAGCGAGGCCCCCTGCCTATGTGTTCATTCAACATACGGGTAAGGCGTCTAAGGCCTCATTGCGAGTTCTTGGTGTCAGAGTGTACGCCTGTCAATGTTGGGAAGGGTCAACAAATCATAGCGTCCTTTGTTTTTCTTTCGAATCGATCTTCTCGTTACATTTCCTGGCTTCCTTTCACCCACCCTTAATTTTTTTTCAGAACATCAATATCGGACCTGTAGACAGCTGGTTTCCGCTTGCAAATCATAGTATTCACATGATAGATTAGTATATACTATGGCTGCTTCGATTTCCAACGCGACATACTTTGACTTTCATTGCCAAGGCAGTGGGGGAAAATGGTATGAGGAACTACATTCTCCCTCCTACTTACACATCACTAACGGCTCCTAGGTGGGCCTGCCCTGAAGGTAGCGCCTCGAAGTTTGTAGGATGCTGCGTCGATGACCCTTGTTCCAAAGGCTGTGCGCAAGGCGATCTTCGATCTGTCGGTTACAATACATCACATTATGGAGGTATGATACTGGTGTTGAATTGGGTTCTGAAGAGCATCGCTAACGTAAAACAGAATGGCCAGGTGAGAAGCAATTCAGCACCCAAACAGAGTTCTATTAACGTCGATATAGATGCGAGTTGTGGCCAAGCGAGCAACTTCTTCTCCTGTATAGCCGGAGATTCATTTTGGGGCTGCTGCAAGTCCAACTCGTGTGCGTCGCCTTCAGCTACATGCCCCCAAAATGACTTGACTCCCGCTTTCATGGACCAGACCTACCAGTTCAACACGTATGCCAGGACTGGAAGTTCAGCACCTAGCCCTAGTGCTTCATCCGTATCCTCAAAGAAGAGCAACACGGGAGCGATAGTTGGCGGGGTAGTTGGTGGCGTGCTTGGACTTTCTCTTATCGCAGTTCTCATCTACTTTCTGATGCGCAAGAAGAAGCGAAACCAGGTCGCAAGTGGGGGCGATTTGAGCCCTGCTACTATGGCAGCACTGCAAAAGGAGAAGGGCCCTGGAACACCATACACCCCACTTAGCGGCCAGTCACGTAAGTATCTTGGATATAATAACTTAGGTAGATATTGACACTCACCCAGCACCGCCTACGTACTCAGCTCCTCATGACAGGTACCAAAGCGTATCACTGCCATCGAAAAACACTTATGCTCATTACGCAAACCACGACAACGGCCCTCAGGAGCTTCCAGCCGACGCTCCGTTATCTCAGGAGCATAGATTTTCCGAACTACCGGCAACCCAGTCGGACAGTGTAGGTCGCCATCATATTTCTGAGCTGCCTGTCGAAACCTCGGATATTCAGTCATCGCATACCGGTACATCTCCTAGGCAACTCCAGACTGAGTTTTCGAATGATCTGGCCAAACATACAAACGAGAATGTAGGGTTGGGTGTGTCGATAGATGAAGGGTCGCGGAAACACCGAGCTGGATGAAAAGACGGCCTTGGCTTTCCGATGAGATACTAATACACACTTTACCTCCATGTTAAAATTTACAAAAACAATAAATAAACGTTAGTAGAAATATACCAAATCCACACATGAAATTTTTATCAAATATCCAAAATATCTTTGCAATCTTGCAGCGTTATAAGTCATACCGAACAAACACAAGCCGAGACTTCTTTGTTCGCATCAACATTGAATCCCAGCCCACGTGCACCAGTCATCCTCAAAACCATGAATCCTTGCAGAAACACATTAGCTTATCCTGTTGCTGCGCTCAGCCCACCCCCCAGTGCATATGCATTCGTCATTTGCCGAAGGTGGCAACCCTCCTCCCCTCTCCCTCTCCCTTTTCCCCTCCAACGCTGCCACTCTCAGCCCCTAACCCGTCCACCACGCACATGGCCCAGCATGCACAACTGCCATCGCCACCCCGACCGCCACTTGTACACCAGCTGTGTGGTATGGGATTCCGCCACATGTGTCAGGATCGCGCATGATTAGTCGTCGTGGGAATCAGCTAGCTCTGGGATAGGTATATACCCATAATCTGCAGCCCTAGAACTACCGTATAGGTATCTATCGCCACTCCCCTCGACGTACCTAGGTAATAAGTAAAGATATCACGAGCCGTACGGTAGAATGAGAGTTTGCTTTCTCAAAGACTGGAATTGCGTTGGACTGTGGTTTACTCATATACATATCCATGACAACCAAGGTCAGCCAGCTAGAACGGTCGCCGATTCCTGGTGCTGGAATGTGCTGGGCGTACCGGTATGACATACAGTACATGCTGTTACCTACCTTTACCTAGCTGGTACCGGTACTCCATCTGCTCGGTATCGGGTCTCGGTTATACTTACCCGGATGACTACTCCTCCACGCAACACAACATGCAATCAGCTCTAGCCATGCATACTGCATAGCCTTACCATGTGTGTCAGTAATCTGACACCGATGAGCCTCGTGCGGTCGATCTGGCCGGAAATTCAGTTCTCAGGTTGCGCAAGTATTTTGTGGTAAGTTGGGAATGGTGTATGTTTGTTTGAGTCTGGCATAGTGCTGGGAATCATTCTTAAGGCTGGCCAATACCGGTATAGGTCACTATCCTAGCCTCAAGTACCTACCGCTAGCAATAGAATAAAATACCATCAAATAGTCCCATAGCTCACCAGTCCACAAATCCCCGCACGCCCTGGTGTCGTGAAACAAAACAAAAGGAAAACGCCCTGTGGACTCTCACCCCGCGCCCCGTTTCAACAACAAACAACCCTTGTCACAGCTCCAAACTCGTGTATACATGTGCGCAAAGTGTGCGTACATACGGCGCTCGTATGAGTGAGATCTTAGCCCGGTGCCGCAGCCATGCGTCATCCACACGATGCCCTCGTCCTTTGTTCTGCGTAAACGGGAAGGGCGATGCTAGGGGGTGAAGGGGAGAGGGTGGATAAGCTGGTGAGAAAGTAAGCAGTGCATATTCCTCTGCTGCGGGCTGTGATTACCTCACTTTTTGGCCCTTTTGAAGTCTTCGGTTGGGTTTTTTGGTGTTGCTCTTGCTCTTGCTGTTGCCAGTCATTTCAACGGATTTTGCTGCTCTCTGAGCTGATGAAATGAGGATTTTTCGTCTTGCAGAATTTTGAATCGCCGGACACATTTGAGATTCTGCAAAATATCCTTCCATCTCAAGTTGCGACTACATTTCTCTTTACTGCTGTGGTGCTCGACTTTACCTTTTCTCACAAGGTTGCGGCGCGCAACAAGGTTCCATTGTTATCACCACTACCATATCTTGCATCGAGGCCTGCGCCAGAGTGAAAGTATGAACAACAGCCTACACAGACGACAAGATTTCGGGCCACGATGTCCTGCGGGTGGGAAATGGTGGGCTTGTGGCTACGGCACCTATTTTGTGGGCTGCTGCGTGAAAGATCCATGCGAAATCAGTTGTGCGCAGGGCAATTTGTATCCGGGCGGGTTTGACCCAGATGCGTATGGAACATTTCCTGAGTATGTAGGCGAAAGAAGGACGTTCAGTTCGGCATAGATTCTGACTTTGAGGTCTCTAGCGCGACATGTGGTTCTGGGAGTATGTTTTATACATGTACGGCCAAAGATACGTTTTGGGGTGAGTTAACTCTGCGTACTTGCTAAATGCACGAACACGGTGTGAATGATGCTAATGCGGTCTTTTAGGATGTTGCAAGTCAAATCCATGTAGTCAGAAAGTCTGTCCAAGTGGAGACCTCGAGCCTGCGTATATGAATCGCAACGATCAACTGCTTGCATACAATGCAACGGCTGCTTCTACTACATTCGCAACCGTTACCCAGACTTCAGCCGCTGAGACCGCAGGAGCGACCGACACATCGAATACTGCCCAAGAAAAAGATGATACGCCCGTAGCTGCCATCGCAGGTGGTGTGGCAGGTGGTGTCTTCGCCCTCACTGCCATAGCAGGTTTCCTAATCTACTACTGCTGCTTCATCAAGAAATCGAGAAAAGCCCGCGCAGAGAGACAAACAGCAGAAGAACAGACAAACAAAGAAATGCAACTGCGACTTCAACAGCACCGCGATGGTACGTAACTTGCGCCCAGAAACCTCCCTCCTACTTTCTCCTCACTACTAACTCGGAACAACAAAACAGCACCACCAGACTACACAAGCCCCTCACACATCCCAGCCCCTTTCCACCACTCCACCGACAACAGCAACAGCAATAACAATAACACTTACTACGCCTACACCCACCCGCACGAAGACCAACCGCCTTCCCCACAAGAACTCCCCATCCACTCCCCCAATCCCAACAAGTCCTCCCCAACCCACACCCGTGGACCCTCCGAACTCTCCGCCGACAACACACTGAGCGAACTCGAAACCCCAGATACAACACCAAAGCACCATCCAGGCGAATTCAAACAGATACCCAGTGCGTTTGTGCAGACGCCGCCAACGGAGTATACCGAGGAAGCGCTGCATGTGCGGAACGGGGCACGCGGGCGGGGGAGACGGAGTAGGTTCGTGGAGATGAGTCCGATGGGTGGGGTTGCAAATGGGGCGCGTGATGCAAGATCAACGGATCCTGTGGTTGCGAGGAGTGCGTGGGTTGCACCGCAGGACTGGGGATTTTATCCTCCGGCTGTGGCGGAGGGCGGGTTGAGGAGTCAACGGGGAAGTCGGAAGGGGCGGGGGTTAGGGGTGGATGGGGTGGATGATATCATGGCGAGGATGGGAAGATTGGAGAGATTGGATGATCAGAGAGCGGTGAGGGGTGGATCGAAGCCGTGTCGTGAAGACGTTGGTGACACTTGATTCTTGTGGATTTGTAATATAGTCTTGATGTACTATTGATAATTTGTAATTCCGTTCCATTCAGAGTGACCTTGTAACACCGTGATATTGATTCAAGAAAAGGCGCTAAAGCCACGGTTGTGAAGCACAACAATATCCCATCAAGGTTACGCCTAAACACCTTCCGATGCAAATGTTACATGTACAACCCAAGACTGTAAACCGTCAAACACTTCCCCAGCCCCAAAATGCATTCTTCCAGCCCCTCAAGTGCTCCCATGACTCCTCAACTTCCTCATTCCCGGCCCAACACTGCTCGAAAAACTGGTAATATTCTCCCTATCCCCCTTTTCACCCGCCACCGCATGTACCGTCTTGCGCATTTTTTTCATCGGCAGCTTTGACTCTTCTCCATTACCACGCTGCTTCTTATTTGGCGGCAAAGCCATAACCACCGTGTCTGAAGACTGGGAGACGAGAGGGAGAGGCTGGGTATGAGCTTCCTGCGCGACGATGTTAACATCGAGTTCACGCAACGAGGCTCCCGTGGTAGGTAGATTGGAGATAGTGTGGGCGTGCGCACTAATGGAGGGGTTGAAGTTGGGCTTGGAAATTTTGAGGTTGAACATGTCAGTAGGGGAGGAGAGGGCGTTGGTGGCATCGTTGAAGATGGGTTGTTTCGACGGGCTGCGAGTTGTGGTATCTACGGGAGCAGGCCCATCACGAAGTCGGGAAAGAATATTCTCATGAGCTTCAGTCCGCGGGAGCGTGGAGGGGATATTGTAGTTCACGCGTTGTGGTGTCTCGCCAGTTGGGTTGTACTCAATGAGATTCTGGTTTGCAACAACTTCGCGCAACTCGTGGAGTGGTGCACGAATATCTGCATCGGGCGCCAGGGCGGGCAAGGTCTCCTTCAGAGTTTCTGCTTGGGCTGTCATCTCCGACTCCAAAGACTGGACACGCTCAAAGGACGAGGACAAGTGGTCTCCAATGCTGGCGTAAGAAGCTGCCACAGTCGAAGATAGAGAAGCGAGCGTGTTGGTGTGGGCCTCGTGATGAGTGTTATTCTGTTCACGGATGCGGGCAACAATGTCATCAAGAGACTGCAGCTGTGTGTCCAGATGTGCCATTTGAGCCTCGACAGTCTTGACTGTGCTTGCATGAACAGACGTGGTGGTATCCTTGATTGATGAAGACTGCTCAGTGGCGGCCTATGCATTTCAATATCAGTATATTTCGGACATAGTGGAACGGCAAAAACTTACAGCAAAGTCGGACTTGATCTTTGTCTTGACAGCATCGCGAGACTTCGAAACGCCTGCAAGGATGTCGCGGGATCGGTTTGACCACGCGCTCACTCCTTCAGTGTATGCCTCTCGCTTCGACTCAAAGATTACATTGGCAGCACTGATGCCAGCGCTCACGTTCGCAAGTTTTTCATCTAATCTCTTCTCTTGCGCATCTGCGTTTGCAGTGATAAGGGCCGCGATCTGCGTTAGTAATTGTTGACGATCCTCGGCTGCCTTCTGCTTCTCCTCGGCCACTACTTGTTCCAGCGCGGATTGAGAAGCTTTGTTGGCTTCGATCATAGTAGTGTCTGCCTCGAGAACCTCATGGTGCAGGCGCTCATTCTCAGCCTGCTGATCGCTGAGGTCCTTGACTAGGTCGTCAAAAGTCGTCTTGAAATCACGTCCTAGCGAAGCGTATGAAGCATGCACTTGCATGTGGAAGGCCTCCAACTCGGTGATGATGCTCGCCGATATTGTCTCTGCAGCGGCAGAAAGCTCATCAAGACCTGCACCAATCTTCTCCTTCACATCCTCTCTTAAGGTTTTGATTTCCTCTAGGACTTCGTTCATGTGATCGCGAGACTGCAGAGTCTGTTCATTAACTTCCTTCTCCGAGCTCTGATATGCCTGCATTTTTTCTTGTAGGAATGACTGAGACGCACCGAGCTTCTCAAGCTCGTCCCTGACAAAATTCTGCATTCGCTCAGCAAGTGTGCTCATCAGCTGCTCTTGCTGCTGTTGGAACTCCTCTATCCGATCCTCCACGAGGCGCGTGGTATCAACCACCTTGGTCTGTGAAGAATTCCAGTTGCGTCGATTCTGTGACTGGAGCTCCGACTTGCGACGAATCTTCGACCGCAGCCCATCGATCGCAGACGTGGTCTTTCCGAGTGTGAAGATCATATCCTTTCCGAGATTTGCAAGCTCCTCCTCCGTCTTCTCATGCGCTTTTCGTAGTTCAGCCTCCTCCGCCAAGTTCTGTCGCGTGTGTTCAAGAACAATCTCAGTCTTTTCAAGAATGCCTTTTGTACCGTCCAAAGCCAATTGTGCCTGCTCGTGGTCCTTCTTCAAAGTTGCAAAGTTAGTCATTAGCTTGAAAAGATCTTCGACCTTATTCCTAAGGTTGACTTCCATGGTCTCGAGCTTGTCGCGCTGCTCCTCACTCAGTATACGTCGAGACTCGCTAACGGTCGTAATCTCTTCATAGTTCTCCTGCGTGAGGTAGACACCGTTCCGCTGGCGCGTGGCAATCAATTCACTTTTCAACTTCTCAATTTCCGCGGTGTACTCCTTGAGTAGAGTCTTCTTGTTGATTGCTTGGTTGACTTGCGGTTTGTTTCGGATGTTCTTTGCTCGGAATGCGTAGTCGAGGGTCGAAATTGTCTCCTCAAGGTTGCTCTTGGCTGGCGATAGCGTTGCAATGATGCAGGTTTTCGTTCGTCCACCAAGCGAGTCTTGCAGCAGACGCGTCAACTTTGACTCCCTGTACGGGATATGCGAGCTTCGTTCGACGAGCGCGTTGATAACACGACCCAAAGTCAGCAGGCTCTTATTGATCAGACCGGCTTCCGCTGCCCGCTTGTTTTCTGCTCCACTGCGCTGAATGTTCTCGCTTCCGGCCAAATCAACAAGGTTGAGCTTGCCTGCGCTCAGGTATTCCTGGCCATCTTCGCTGGTACGCTTAATGTAGACGGTGATTGTGAAGACGGTGTGACTTCGAGAACTGAGATCGTTACACTTTGTTGCTGCGACTTGTCGCTTGTGACTTCCGTTGCGCAGAAGTGTGATACCCTCCACCGCAGTCTTCAAGTGGCACTCCTCCATCCCCTGGACCATAGTCGTGCTGTGGCCTTTCTTGCTGTTGTCATCGAATATTTTCAGCTTCGTAGAGTCGTCTGGAGAGAGCAAGTCGCGGAGTTCCTCATTGTACAATTCGATGAAAGAGCATTTGACTGAGTTCTCGGTTTCGTCTGCTTCGAGGCGCTGGAAAAGGGCGTATAGAACGCGGGGAATAATACCGGCTGCGTCTGGTAAGGGAAGGACGTTTGAGATGTCACCAGTCATGGTGTAGGTTTTCCCTGTGCCAGTCTGGCCATACGCGAAGATTGTGCAATTGAAGCCATCGAGAACCTTTGTGTACGTTAGCTAGACTCTCCACCAAGAGACCAGCAGAAGAAGGGTACCTCGTCTAATATTGGCGAAACAACCTCGTCAAAGACCATGTTTTGATCAGCGGCTGATGAGAAGACCTTGTCGAATTGGTAGGTTTTATTGCTCAGCGCACTTGGGCCCATGGAGAGATCGACTGTTGTGCCCTTGATCCCATTTGTCGAGACGACAACACCACTATTCTCGCGTACTTCACGATCATTACGCCCTCGACACCGGACGACAACATTGATGTTAGTCTCCTCACCACCCTCTTCATATTCGCTCACTTTGCGCTTTAGAGGCGACGATCGTGGTGCGGTCCTTTGGGATGCCACCGACTCTGCGCGGGAGGTGCGCCCTTCCATTGCCGGCGTTGCTGAGCGGCCGCGCGCCAAGTGTAGAGGCCGAGCAGCTGGTGGACGCATCGAGGACGTGGTTGTCCGCTTGACCGGCGGGCCTGGTCGGGGAAGGCCAGACATGCTGTGGTTAGTATTTTGCAGTCTGCGGTTGGGAATGGGTTTGTGGGTGATGTCGTTCCCGGCAGCGAAGGCAACGAGGCGTAAACTACCACAACAAACAATGCGCGTGCAGGGATCCCGTTAGCGTCGGCGCTGTATTCGCGCTAAGGGGCTCCGCACCGCAGCACCTCCGCCTTGCACGTCAACCGTCAACCGTCAACCGTCAACCATCGACAATACCCAAAGACTGTCAACCACATGGATACACCATACTATCTGCTTCTTTGGTACCTACACCAGACCTCTATACCATCTCCACGTGTAGGCCCAAAGCACACTTCTCTATAAACATACATGGTGTGCTGCTATGCACAAGTCACACCCAACACCTACCATTGTGCCCCACCATTCCACCATTCTCGATAGATGAACGAACCCATCTTGGAGTATACTTACTTGCTTCACTAGCCTTCGACTTGCCAAATTGCTTCATATCTTCCGGAAGTGCTCGTTGTGATTTGACCGGGTTATCCCTATTTGGGCCCACCTATATGCTGTCCTCGTGAACAAAGCACGAGCGCAACATCGTTCACAAGCTAGGCAACACATAAGTCAGCAAGCGTACACCCCCCCTTCTCCCCCTGGCAAGCCTGCCTGCCCCGATACTCAAGATGGATGACAACATTATGCAACTGTTTCCAGGGCGCAGTGTGGGTTTCTTAAGTATGTATGCGGCCCCATCCTGTAGACGTAACTGGGCTGACATTCCACAGCCCTTGGATGTTCACTCCATGAGATCTTGACCACGATAAAGGCCGAAGTCAAGGCGTTTCCACGATTTCAACTATATCACGATGACCTGCGCCCGATAGAATCGCCCGTCCAGCTTGTTCTACCAGACAACGGTCTGCGGTTACAGTTCGACGGACCAGATCAGCGGTTGCGGCTGATAGAAGTACTAGACTTTGCCAAAGCAAAGCTTGTGTACAACAATATCGAAGTCTTCAAACCTGGAGATGGATATAGTGGTGTGTCGGGAGCGTCTTCAGGACCAAGATTCAGGCACATCTACGACAAGTTACTGGGACCGACATATGGAGGAGAGTATTTACCGCCAAAGTCGGAAGATGCAAATGCGCGAGGGACTTATAACCTTTCGTACCCGGGGGTAGCTTTCAACTTCCCAGTACAGCATTCTGCCTACTCCCCGAAGAAGGACTTCATCTCTCTGTTATCCTCTTCAGCAACAGGACCCGCTCTATCAATGGCAGTATTCACTGGCGAGTCGTGGCAGAAGGCTCGAGGCACGCTCTTCACAGCCATTCCCCCGCACCCACGCTCTCTATCAGTAAACAAGAGCAAAGAAGGACCCGATGAGATTGAGCTAGTCAAAGTCCACGGCCAAGGCAGAATCGAGCTCCTCCGGCGTTCCAGCCCGCCCTTCTGGATCATCCTCAGCGAAACCACACCACAAGACCTCATCATGGAACTCGGGGCCCCTGACTCCATCTACCGCAAACACGACCATCGCCTCTCGATCCACAAGGACCGTCGGACCAGCGACGCCTCGGATCTCTCCCCCACTGGCCTCACCGCAGACGACGACTCGGACCATGCGTCGGCCATCAACACCGACGGCGAAGACGCCTGGTCAGACTCGAGCTCGGCCGTGCTCTCCGCCCACGACCGCGAAGTCGCCGCCGCCGAGCACTTTTACAACTACTACCACCACGGCTTCGACATTCTCATCTCCCAACCCACCACCCTCTCCCCAGCTCCCCCCACCGCACCAAACACCACCACCACCCACGACAACCCCCCCAACCAACCCCTCACCGCACAACCCCTCCACCACCTCACCGCCACCAAAATTATCTTCCACGGCAACATCCCAGGCTCCTACCAATTCAACCGCCACCGCCGCTCCCGCTGGTCCCTCCAACACATCCCCTCCCCCTCCCCCCTAACCTCGGAATCCCCCTTCCCCACAATCTCCTCCCACCTCAAACACGCCTTCCACACCTCCTACGCCTCGGACGAACAGGAGCGCCTCCAGCAACGCGCCATGGCTCTCAACAGAGGCTGGGGCGATAGTCCCGGCAGCAGCTGCGAATTGCTTGGTGGCTGGGAGGATGGCGCGTCTGCGCGACGGGGTCAGGGGGCTGGGGTTGCGAGTTTGATGGCGCAGGGGAGTGTGGTGGTGGGTGGGGAGGCGGTTGGGGGTGTGGGGAATGTCGAGTTGTTTGGGTTTCCGGGGTTGGTGTTTGAGGTTTTGAAGAATGGGGCGGTGAGTGGGTTGACGGTTTATTGAGGGGGAGGGGGCATTGTTGTGTGCATGTATGCATGTAGATCTGGTCTTGGATTTGAAATGATTCATCATCACCCATGCCAGATACAATCATCATCCCTATTAACAATAAAAAAAAATACATCTCCCCCAACAAGCACCCACAAACACATATACATATCAAAGCGCAAGAATAAACATCTTCATTAAGCGGACAAGTTCATAAGCTCGCTAAGCTGGGTGAGTGACATGGGCAACCCTAGGACAAAAGACCAGAAAGAAGACACCCAACACAAAAAAAAAGCCGTCATCACTCGCACCCGTCTCGCCCTTCCCCTTCTCCCCAAAAAAGAAGAAACAGGGGTTGGGAAGAAGTCGTGAGGGAGAAAAAGATTCGCGTGCGCGCATCATGCTTCGACTTTAGATTTTGTTTTTTGGCCCCAAGTCCCAAGTTGGCAGCCAAGTCCAAGCTGAGCGTTTGCCAAGGGCATAGTGTCCATCCCTCACCCTTTGCATTTCATATCCGTCCGTTTTCCCGTGTCTGCCTTGTCGCACTGTCTTGCTTTCCTTTGGTTTGCATTCCATTCCATTCCAATCCCATCCCTTCCCTTTCTTGGCCCAGACATATGCGTGCCTCTACATAGAACAGCACGAATCCCCGCGCCTCATACCGTGCTCTAACAAAGTTAAGAAAAAAAAACGAAAACGAAAACGAAAAAAGATAGAGATAAAGAAACGGTCGCGTGACGGGAAAAAAATAAAAGAAGAAAAAGAGGACAAGACACGGTGGTTTTCATCGCCAGAGAAACCACCAAGACCACACCAAAAAAAACCCCAAGGAAATTGTTCGATAACGGCGACAAAGACTCTCAAGGCACAAGGCCCAGAAGTTTTGTTGACAAAAAATGCCAAGTGCAACAGTTGCGCCTCCAGACTGTAGCGAGAATGAGAAACAAAGAAACCATCCGCGCAGTGAGGGGGGAATCCCGAAAGAAAAACTCCATGAAAATGGAATGGGTTGGGAAGAGAAGGAGAATAAGAAGTGACGGAGGGCAACAAGAGGGTGGCCCACTAAGCCCAATGAGAAAAGAAAAACAGTTGATATATCAGGGCATGACGAAGCGGCGAAAAGTGGCGCAATGGCGAGACGCAAAGCTTCGGAAATCCGTAAGAAACGCAGTAATGAATACAGTTTGTCCAAGGGTGTGTTCATCTCCGACCAAGGGAGCGGGATGCTGTGTGCAGACGTGTATTTATTTTCCTTCTTCTTCAACAAGGCCAAAGATGAGGGGACGTGGATTACCGCTTTTGAAGTAGAGGGCATGTCGAAGAAACTTGGGAAGAGTAGGAGATACCGTGGTTTCGGATACTGCGTCGGTCGTTACAATAGGCGTTAAAAAGAAAAAAGTGTGAGCGGCCAAAGTGTTCGTCATCTATCGCTGCCGACGGATTGTCCAGGATCGCTGGTTTGTGGTGTGCGCAGTTGAGATGAGCTTCCATAACTCGAAAGCTGCTTCTGCTGTTCCTTCTGGCCGCTGGGCTTGCGCTTAAAGAAGCTCTTGATCTTGCTGGAGGTGGTCAATCTGCTGGGGCTGACAGCGTTTGGATTCGAATCTGTGTTGGGCGGGCTGGTATCCAGGGTCGTTTCTTTAAGGTGAGTCCGGCCGTCGGCTTCGCCATTTCGAACGTCCCGGGTGCGACGTCTAGTGCTCATTTGCCGCCACCAGCTTGAATCACGTGTTCCATCCGATCTGGTCAAGTTGCTCTCAGCACTCAGCTTGCTGTCGTCCCATTGTGGTAGCTTGGAGCCGTCGAGGTTCCCGTTGCCAGTGTGCGAAAGATCGACCTCAGAATGACTTTGGGACGATGGCTGGGGCAAAGGGTAGAGACTGACAACTGTTTCCCGGTTAGCATGATTTGAGATTCATGATGATGTCGAGTGAGCCATGTGAGAAGATGGCAATGGCAACTTACCTTGACTCCGTCTGGACGGAGCTGTCACTGGTCTGACAGTCTCTTTATCCTTCTTGGAGGAACCGCTAGTCAACGTATCCTTACGGTCTCCTTTCGACCGATCCTCGAGGATGGGAGGAGATGACGCTTTAGCGTTGGAGTCAGGCGAGTTTGGTGCTTGGGTGACGAGGATAGCCGTAAGACTTGGATCACCGCTACCCCGTCTTGATGAGTTGTGATTTTCGCGCGACGACACGGTCCGTTGTCCGAATCCGCATCCGCCAACGGCGGAAGAACGCCGCGAGCCTCGGTCGACACCCAGCGAAGATCTTCGCGATGTCGAAGCACCGGTGACGGAACCTGTTGAGCCACGCCGCCCAGCGTCCTGCGGTGAGCAGAATTTGCCAGGGCCGGAAACGGTGGGTGTTGCCGGCATGCTGGCATTCACTCTGGCTGGACTTCCAGATCGCGGGCTGGGAGTTGGATCCCCTCTGAAACCTGGCTTCAGTAGTCCGAGGGCGAAATGCGGGGTTTTCTGTTTTCGATGACGTTCCTCGTCGATTTTCCTCTCCCATATCGCCTTGTTTGTCAAGATCTCGTCAACGGCGAAGCGCATCGCTGGCAGGATATCTGCGACTGCCTCGAACAGCGGCCTCGCGAATATGTTCATGAACCCAATCTGCGACTCTCCCAGTTTGATCACATCGTCCCTGACAGGTGGGCCGCCAAACAGACAAGATGTCATTTGCAATTCCTCTTCCATCATGCCTTGATTGCTGAACTCGTCTGTGAGAATATTCGCCCATTTCGCTGCCGTGTCGAATTTACGTGCCTAAGAAAGGAGGTGATTAGACGACAAGGGAAAATCCGGCAGGGATGACCACACTTACCACATTGCATATATCTGCGCACTTGATGAGCAGTCCGCAGGTTAGGTCCTTTTGTTCCTCGCGAACCTTGACATTCCAAGCATCGAGAATGCCTTGGTCGTGGGCGACCTTCTCTTGCAGGCTACCGAGATCGCTCATGTACTTAAAATGCAAGCCCATATCAGTCGCAAGGATGTTATTGATCATCAACTTTCGCAACGAGGTGTCTGCGAATGCCTTGGGCCAGTAACGCCGCAGGATTTGGGAATAGGCGGCACAATGAAAGGATTCGAGAACAGAGCGATCATTGTACAGTTGCGCTAATGGCGCATTCAGCGTAACCAAAAAGGCATTGTTGACTCCAGGATGACCCACGTCGTGGCCAATGGCGGAGATGAGAAGCGTGAGCGCATCGAACGGCTTGAGCAGTTGAGCAATCGGGGACAGGGGCGTGTGCGTTCCATCGAAATCTGATGGGTATGGTGGTAATGTGCCAATGCGAACGAGGAAGTAAAAGAGAGCCTGTAGAACGTCGACGACGTGGCGAAAATTGTGGTATTTCACAAACTCGTTGTATGCCGTACGGCTGGCCAGGAGGAATACAATCAGCTCATCTTGTGGTGACCGTCAGTAACCTGCCTGCCCCAGCGAACTTGGCCACTCTTACCTTCTGTCATGCTCCACTTCTCAAGCTCGGGCATCTGTAGCGCATGCTTGAGCATAACAAGCGCGGCGTAGAGCAACTCATCGTCGGTTAGTTCATGCGCACAAAAAGCCCATGTGCCGACCCTATGCTCGACGATTGCCATTCGGTCTTCATCCAGTTCAAAGTCGCTGTCCCCCCAAGTTAGCCGATGATCTTGCTACAGCGACGGGAGAAGAAACCTACGAAGCGTCCAGCGAGTCGCCGACGGTCTCCGGATTGCAGATGCCGGTCATCAGGTTCGAGACCATGGCCTCTCGCAAATAGGCGTACGGCTTTGTGTCATCCACCCCAACCCAAGACAACTTCCGGTTTCTCTTAGTCGTCAGGAAGCTGGCTTCCTCGCGCGAAAAGTCTTTTTGTAACCGATAGCCTTGGATGACCAGGCCATGCATACGGTCCTTGGATAGTGGGCTGGACAGCACATCCACGGCTCCCGCGTCCAGATAGCGAGACAAGCGCATCGAGTCTGTGAGAAGGTTGGAGGAGGCAAGGCCCGGCGAAGGTAGCGGTCCGCTTGAAGGCGCATCTTGGTTGAGTCCTGTCAGCATGACGACGGGTACGACAAGCTTGGAGAAGTTCTTGGACGATATCTCCGAGGAAATATGGGTCAACAGATGCATGGCGTAGATATCGTCCGGTTCGGTAGCATCTATTCGTATCAGGCGCGACGACGTGGGCGAGGGGGTCCGAGGTTCGCGAGAGAGTCGCTTCGCGCGCTGTTCTTCGTCGTAGGGAATGTCTATGATTACAAACGTGGGCACGTTGGCTTTTGTGGATTCAAGGATGGAGGAAATGTTCGCAAGACATGATTTGCCAGAACCGCATACATAGACTGTGCCCAAGGGTTAGTGGTGATTGCAGATGCAGGCGTGCGGGCGTCTGGCCTACCTTCGTTGAACATGGTCAAGATGGCCTCGACATTGTCGTGGACCTCGCGCGGCGACGTCTTGCCCAATGCAAAGTAACTCTGGCCTACATTTCCCGTGCTTGTCCGCGCAACCAGCGACTTGGATAGCGTCTCCTTGCGCACATGCTCGTCATTCGCCCGCCGGTCGATGTAAATCACATTACACGCGCCATTGTCCATGGTCTCCGCTTGTCGCCCCAGCAGCCCCCGTATCTTAGCGCAAAAGGGTGGTGCGGACAAAGGTCACGGGCTCAAGAGCCAGGGCGGCAAAGGTGTCGAGGAGGTCGCTGGGTTGACGGGGCGATGCGATGGGAGGGCAGCGACTCGGTCGCAAGTGCGCAGATGCGAATGGGTGGGCGCAGAAAGGAATTAGAAGACAGCAGCAGTAGGGGTGCTACAGAGGGTGCAGAAGCCGGCGGAGTGCGTGGGGGAGCGCAGCGCACGAGATGGGATGTTCTATGGTAAGTGTGCGCCCGTTGGTCTGAGATGCAATCTGAAACGACGATGCTAGAAGGCAGCCCTGGGGAACCCAGCAAGTTGGGATGGCGATCTCGAGATGGCGGCAACAGCAGTAGTAGCAGCCGTGACAATGGTAGCAGCAGCAGCAGCAGCGGCAATGTAGGGTTATCGCAGTCTGTTTACGGACAAAAATAGAAATACGAACGGCGATGCGACGAGGAGGGGAGGGGAGGGGAGGGGGGGGGATGACGGCTAACGACGTCTCAAGGAAAGGCAAGTGCGCTCGTGGTGGGATGGGAAGGCGCAGCAGTCGGAGACAGCAGGTGTGCGTCTCAATGCGGCCGGGAGGGTCTTGCCTGGCGAGGGCTCGCAGCTCGCAGGTTTTGCGCAGCCTGAGGGCGCCGCTTTGGACTTCTAGTTCTAGGTGGAGAGGTAGAGAGGTGGAGGTGGAGGTGGAGGTGGAGATGGATAGGTATCAAAAGAGAGGCCGACTGGCCACGGAGGGCATCAGCAACAGCAGTAGCAGCGGGAACAGCAAGCGGGAAACAGCCAACAGTAGGCAGGTGCAGCAGTGCAACAAGTGCAGCAGTGCAACAGCAGGGCCGTGGGGTGAAAGGGCGTCTGGGGGCCGGCAGTCGCAGGCGCGCAGGGGCTGGCGGGCGGGAGAGCGTCAGTGTCGCAAGCAGCGCACACGCAGAGTCGGCTGCACTCTGAGCAGCATCGGGCGCAAGGGGCGGACAGCAGAGAGAGAATGAGAGAATGAGAGCAAGAGAGAGAGAGAGAGAGAGAGAGAGAGATAGAGAGGCAGCACACAGGGAGTTGGGTGTGGGCAGAGCAGTTGTGTGTACTGGTGGTATGTGTGTGTGTGTGTGTGTGGTTGAAGGAGGGGGGAGGGGCGGTGGTTTGAAATGGTGACTTGTGGCTCCCCCAGTCCGTGGTCGTTTGGGTGGTGGAGGGAAAAGCGAAAGCAAGGACAGGGCCGCCAGGGCCAGGTTACTCGAGAGGCAAAGAGGAAAAGCGCGCATGGCCGGTGCGAGTGGTCTTCTTCCTTCCCGCCTGCCATTCTTCACTCTGACCGGCGCCCTCGAAGCCCTTCCAGAAGCTTTCCCGGTCCAGCAAGAGGCTCGGCCGCCTCAGCACGACCCATTGCATTGGCGGCCGCTTGATTTCCCTCCCCCAGCTGTGCCTAGGCTGTCGGATGGTGTGTACTGTACATTGTACTGTAGAGAGTAGCTAGACTGTGGACTGTATTGTGTGGACTGTAGGTACTCTAGGTACACGATGTTCTGTACCGTACCTAGGTACTACGTAGGGTACGGGTGTGTACATCCTAGGCTAGGTACAGTACCCATCTAGTAGTACGCACCTACTTGCCTTCATCCGCCACAACCTCACTCGCCAGCTGGCGCATCTGACACTGAAGGACGAATGGGAGGGCTGCTGCACACAGTACATGCTGTACCTACTCTAGTATAGTACACCGCAGTAAGATGGGATAGGGATAGGGTAGGTTCTTTAGAGTAGGTCTGCCATGCCATGCCACACACACACACACACTCACACACACACACACACTCACACACACACACACACTCACACACACACACACACTCACACACACACACACACTCACACACACACTTGGCCTGCAGCGTGCTGAAACGCCTTCCAGGCCCCGGCTCAAGGCTGGAATGGCGCGATGCATCAAAAGTGAGCAAGGCTACAAGGCTTGATGCCATACAGGGTAGTAGTACACGGATAGAGATACATTGGCTACCTCAAACCCCCAACAGCAGCACGATCCATCCAACCTGTCTACGTGCCAGCCAGTTCCACGATGCCCACACATCTGTTTCTTTTTCTTTCCCTTTCATCGACTGCCCATCGCGGCAATGAGTGTATGTGTGTGTGTGTGTGTGCCGAGTCTAGCCTCCAAGTACCGTTACCGTACAAGTAACCAGGCCGGACCGGAGCCATCGTTGCGTGCATCTGACACGGGCCAGCGACATGGACTTGCACGCCTGGGCGCTGCGTCGTCATGTCCCACACACACTCAAAGTCTCCCCCCGCCCGCCGCCGTCCCAGCAAGGAAGCCTTCTGGAAGCCTTGGGAGGGCAAAGTGGCCAACGACACCCGGTCACGCCGGTCGGCGATGGCGGCGGGCGGAGCGGCGGGCGGCCTTTTTCTTTTTTTCCCTTTTTCTTCTTGGGCTCGAGACAGCGGTCGTCGTTCACGTCCCCTCGTCGACACTGGACTGGACTGGACTGGACTGGGTTGCCGTGCGCGGGCAGATCGCACGACTCGCCAAAAGACACTGTGGGCCTGTGGCCTGGGTGCACACTCACTCAGAACCTTGTTCGGTCGGTCCGCTTGCAGCCGCTGATCTTTCTTCTTCTCCACGACTGCCTGACTGACTGACTGACGGACGGACGGACGAACAACGACGACAACGACGATGATGATGATGATGATGATGATGACCGTGTGCAATTGGAACACGCCGTCTCATTACGACATTTGCTTGTCGCCGCCATAATCCATTGCATTCATTCTGACGGTTGCATGTCACACGATATACCTTCACTCTACCACAGTCACCGTCCCTACCCAAGGTATGGTACTGGTACATGCCTACACACCACCCCCCCCCCCTCCCCCCTAACCACACCAGCCCATCCCAGAAACCACATGCCCCCTCTACCCACACATCCCACATGTACTATACAACATCCGACATGTACCAGTAGTCCCTCCCTTCAACCCACCCCCACCCGGAAAATTACCCACTTCGCTGGCTCATCATCGGCCTGCATTCCCTTCTTCCTGGGCTCCCGGCTTCTCTTTGCTGTGTGCTGTACATACAAGAGGTAGGGGAGATGAAAACAGGGTCCACATGTGTGCACGTGTATATGTGCATGTTGTAGTCTACTGTAGCTGGGGAAATGTGGGCATGGGCATTTGTTGCACTGCGCAGGGGGTGGGTCTGGTAGGTATATGGACTGTACCGTGTGCAGTGTATATATTGCATTGTACTATTTTCTATGGTGGGGCATGGTGATGGAGGCGTGCTTTGGTCAGGCTGCTCGGGCCCGTGGGTGACTTGGTGTCGGGGTGGGGTGTTTATGTGAGACGGATCCTGGGGTGGAGGGGTGGGGGGATATCTTCTAGGTAGAGTATCTACATGGCAGTCTACCTTTCTGCGTGTTGTACATGTCGTGTGGTACTACATGTACACTACCAAGTTGCCTACCTTCAAGTAGACGGCCAGATACGCAGATGGCCCTAGTCAATCTCTCAAGCAGACTACAACGCTACCCTACATGTACAATCTCCTATACAATGCAAAACCACACCACCACGTTGAATGCAAGAAAAAAGAAAAAGAAAACACCCCTACATAAACCCCCCCTCCCTACACATATTGCCCAACACCAACCCCCCCATCCCCACCCTCGCTCACAACCACATCCTCACATCGACGACACACCACATCCGCCTCCTCGCGCACAAACCGCCAACAGCGCGGACACTTTTCCCTACGCGGCGGATGCACCACCACCCTCGCGCCCGCGAGCCCGTGATGCTGCACAACCGCCTCCTCACACCACGCCATCTCGCTCCTCATCTGTTGCACCGCCTGTTCCGCAGCCCCAGCGTCTGCGCGCTTGATGTCCACCTCGCTCACGACAAAGATGCTGGCGAGTTGGGTGTGAAGTAGCTGCTGCTGCTGCTGTTGTTGTTGTGTAGCAGGTACATCTTCTGGCCCGCAGGACATGCAGGCCTCGAACCACGTGGTTAGGGAATCCGCCTGTGCGTCGGACATGAAGACGGTGACTGCCGACTCAAGGCTCGAACCAATCTTCTTGTGCGCGCGGAGTCGCTCCTGCGACGTCTTGATGGCTGCATCGAGCTCGGCGAGGACCTGTGTGCGCAGGGAATCCAGCGCCGTCTTGGGTTCGGCACGGGGTTCGAGGGCGCGCCAGAGGGCACGCGCGGGATGGGTGCTCGACTGCCTCAGGGCAGCGGGGACGTGGTCCCAGACTTCTTCGACGAGGAGCGGACAGATGGGTGCGAGCATCTTTAGTAGCTCGTAGAAGATGAGGCCGAGTGCGCGTTGGAGGGTCTCGCAATCGGCCTTGTCGCCCGTGTACACCCTGTCCTTGAGCGTCTCGAAGTAGAAGGCGGAGAGGTCGGTGGAAATGTACTTATTGATGACGCCCACGCCGCGGAAGAACTCGTAGCCTGCAAAGTGGTTGTGGACTTCGTTGCTGACTTCAACTAGACGGTGCATGGCCAGTCTATCCGCGAGTTCGCTAAAGTCGTGCGGGCCTGGGGGCTGGGGGACAAGGTCGTTGAAGGATCTAAAGGTCGGTGGGCAAGACGGCAAGGAGAATATGCCAAGGAGCCACTTGAAAGTCACACGATATTTGTGGAGAGCTTGATTCACAGACATGAGCACGGGTTGGCCGATGACAACGTCGCGAGTGTAGTCGCTGCTCGCCACCCAGAGGCGGAGTGCATCAGCCCCCATGCTGTCGTATGTGGGAGGAGCTTCCGATTGCACCTTTATGTTTGCATTCTTGGTCTTCTGCTTCTTTTTCTTGAGGGGCGGGAGGAGTTCACCCGTCATGATCTGAGCCGGGGAGATGGTGTTGCCTATCGACTTGCTCATCTTGCGGCCATCCGAGTCCAGCGTGAAGCCGTGCGTAATCAGTGTCTTGTATGGTGGTTTGACCGTCTCGGTCTCGTAGGCTTGGGTAGCGATGTGGGTGAGTAGTGAGGACTGGAACCAGCCGCGGTGTTGATCGGTGCCTTCAAGATAGACATCGGCAACCGGCTGCTCTTCCTGCTCTGGAAGCAGAGTCCAGCTCGTGCCGCTATCGAACCAAACGTCCATGGTATCTTTACCTCGAACATAGCTGCCACTTAGGTGCGCAGGTATCCAGGCCGTCTCTTCAGGAGCATCAGTCCACCAAGCGTTTATACCACGCTCTTCAATGACGTTGATGATGTGTGCAATAGTCTCAGAGTCCATAACGGCCTCCAAGTTACCATCCACTAGCTTATAAAGAGCAGGTATGGGTACGCCCCACGCGCGTTGCCTTGAAATGCACCATTGGCTTCGTCCTTGGATAAAACTTTCTAGGCGACTTCGGCCAGTTTCTGGGAGGAACTTGACGTCTCTAATCGCCTTGAGGGATGCTTCCTTGATGCTCTCGACATTGGCAAACCACTGTGCCGTGGCTCTAGTAATGACTGGCTCCTTTGTCCTCCAGTCAATGGGGTACTTGTGTCGATATGTCTGTCGACCGCGAAGAAGGTCTTGCTTCTCAAGGTAGTTGCACACCGCGTTGCTTCCAGAATTCTTAGTGTCGGCAACCAACAAGCATTCGAGGAGTTCAGGCTGGGCTGGGAAAGCCTCTTTTGTAAAAGCGCCAGCATCATCGACAGGCGCAAAAGCAGGGATATTAAGAGTGTTGCAAACTTGATAGTCTTCCATACCATGCCCAGGGGCAATATGTACAAGGCCGGTACCCGAAGAGTCTGTGACGAAATCCGCATGGATAACAGGTTGAAGTCCATTAGCTTTTTGGAAAGGATTCTCGTACTGGAGATTGGCAGCAAGCGCTGATCCAGGGATCTCGGCCGACATTCTTTCCAACTCCCGACCCAGGACCTTCTCATAGTCGACTATCCGTGAAGTCGCAAGAATAGACAATTCGCCGCCTTTGCCTGTGTCTCGTACAATAGTGTACATCATGTCTGCGTGCACTGCAATGGCCTTGTTTGCGGGCAGAGTCCATGGTGTAGTGGTCCATATGACTAGATTGACCTCCTTTCCCCCTAGCTCTCCCAATACCTTTTTGTCCTGATTCACCTGTACGGGGTATCGCACATAGGCCGCCATGCTCTTGTGTCCCTCATCATATTCTAGCTCTGCCTCCGCAAGAGCAGTCCTCGAACTCGGACTCCAATACACTGGCTTAAACTGCCTATATATCAAGCCCTTCTCGAACATGGTCTTGAACACCTCGAGCTGCCTGATCTCGAACCCACGCTCCATGGTCTTGTAGGCATTGTCCCAATCACCCATGACAGCCCATTCCTTGAACCCCTCTTTTTGCTGCTCGATCGTTCTGGTCGCCAATTTGCGCGCCGCTTCCCGCACGCTTACAGGGCTTATTTCCGACGCATCCTTCTTCTGCGCCTGAAGCGCCTTGATCTCAATGGGGAGACCATGACAGTCCCACCCGGGTATATACGACACCTTTTTTCCCCGGCCCACCTCGAACCGACAGATGATGTCCTTGGTGATCTTGTTCAATGCGTGGCCAATGTGCAGCGGCCCATTCGCATATGGTGGTCCATCGTGAAGTGTAAATTGCTCGAGTTGTGTATCGCGCTCGCCACTACGCTGCCAGGCGTAGTGTTGGTCGGTACAGCGTCGTAGATATTCACCTGCCGTGGCAGCCTGGGGGCGGGCGGGGAAGCTCGATTTGGGCAGTCGGAGCGTGGACGACCATGATGCGCGGAGAACACGGGTCGGTGCTAGCATACTAGCATCATGGGTGCGCTGGCGTCCTGGCAAATGCGTGTTGTGAAGGACTTTTTTCTCTCTCAGGTTGCAAAAAGTCTCGGCGATTGTTCGGATATAATCTTCGGAGATCGGATACAATTTAGAGCCATGATAGATGGTAGTACATAGAGATGACGTGTGAAGGAGCTGATGGTCAACATACTGACATGAAATTTTATTCTTAGATTAATATCACAATTCTCTAATTCACCGTTACATGGGAAAGCTGCTATAGCCTTCCAACCCATAATGTATCAAAAACCATAGTTGATGTGGTCCTTATGCCAACAGTCGATAAAACAGAGAATATTTTCTCCTCAACTCGTCTTGAACTGAAAATTTAGTGAAGGAAAAAAAAGCAAAACGACTGCTCAGTTTCAAGAAAAATTCGATCACGTTGCTCAATGACACGGAGAGATTCAAGCCCAGTTGTAACACTATAGTTTGCTTCTTGTTTCAAGTGCACCTACCCGATATGCGATGAAGCGAGTTAGCAGCTGTTCCAGCATAGAAAGTTAATATCACACTTGATCCACATACAATGTACTCATCCGAAAGATGGTCAAACGGGCGGCTACCAGCCCTACTAACACGACGTACCGTTCGACCACAGTAGAACCCATGCTCGTACATGGCATGGCAAACACCATCCGGGCTGCTCTCTTAAAGTTTAGCTCAAGACACCGGCGTCCCCAGGATAATAGGGTTTACGGGAAGTTTCCCCCGAAACAGGGAGCCTGGTCGAGCAAACGGAAGCTCGTCCCGGCGCGGATAGGAGCGTCTGTGCAACTCACTCTGTGTGTCAAATCATGGGTTGACTCAGGGATCAGATGAAGGGATTGGCAAAGTTCCAGTGATGTGGTCGTCCCGTACACGCAGTATTTGCATCCTCGCTCTCATGCACTCTGCCGTACGGTGACACCATGTCATGCTACATGCAAGCCATCATGTAGATACAGGGATCGCGCGGAGATAGTCAATACTTCCATCATGAAGCGCAGGAAATCTTGCGGCCATTTGGGTGTCACTGACGGACTATTGGCGCTTGTCAGGAATGACGTCTGTAATGGCCCATGACTTGTGGGTGGTACCATATCCGGGTGGTAGGTTTTATATGAAATGTCCTTCATACAAGCTCTAGATCATCTTTCAGATGAGCATGGGCCTTCATTATTCTGCTAGTCGTCAGCCATGAGCTACTGTGTGGTAGATATCAGACTAGGCTTCCGAAATAATGCTCACTCTGATTGAATACATGTCAACTTGCTTGACGCTTACGTGTGTCAGCGATTTCTACTCAGCGTAAATAAGTCACACCCAAGATTTCGGAAGTGTGGATCAGGCACAAACGTCTCAAAGAGTGAGCGATTGGCTTTGCGTGCGGCAATTGGGCTCGTGCTATTGATGCCTGACGTGGCGGCTAGCGCACAGGTGAGGCGGTGAACTTCGGGTGTGGCGTGGCGTGGTAGGCAGTGAAATGCATGATTCAAATGCAGTGTATTTTTCTTATTCCTAGGTCTTGCGTGTCATTGGGATATTTCTGCAGCTTACATCCTATTCACGTTCATTGGGCCGGACTGCACCGAGAATAGCATCCCGGGAGACCTGAGGATCAAAAGGGTAGGTTCTTCATCAAGCAGCACGAAAGAAGACTGCTGTCGAATCGACGTTCTGTCAAAGATTGAGGTCTGTTGTTAGCATGAGAACCGTCAACAATCCAATGTCATTGTATCTATTCTCGACGAACTTTACTTCGACACCATCTTGGCAAGATCAATCTAATGTAAATCGATTGATCTCCATGTAATCAGTGCGATACGACGGATGTAAGCGAAACCCTAAATCCTTCAGCTGAGCGTACCGCTTTGCTTTTTCCTCCACAATTTTGGCGCCGTACTTCTTGTCATTGAGTCAAGGCAAGTTAGACGGTTTCAGTGGACTTCTTGACAGGGCGTTCGGCTGGTTCCGTGAAACGTCGAGTTGCTCATTGGTGGTATTTCAGTTGTCTAGTTTCTCATGATTCATCCTGAAAGAAACTGCTCATCCACTAGTGAACGTGATACTGTCTGACAGCGCTGTGGTAAGTAACGGGGATGATATGTCGTAATATATCCCCATTCTCGCCTATGCATGCACATACGATCTGACATGGCCAGCAAATCGATCGAGGTGGAAGGATTTGTGCTAGCCAAAGAAATGAGTGGACAGTCAGCTTTGGATGATGAATATTCACGCAACGTCGTGATGTGCTGTATAGGTAGGGTATGGTGAGCCAAATGCATACATGGTATCTGGACCACAGAGTCTCGGACTGAAAGCATCGATTCGCCTCCTGTGTGCTTTTAAAGTCTAGATTGAACCGTTGCGAAGTACAGCAGATATTCCTCGACGCAGTCTACGTTTAGAATCCCTGTAGGACAATCCGCGTGGCAAAACTTTGTACTGTACCGTGATATAGGTGACTAGCAAGGCGGTCGCGTGCTGGACAGGTTTGCGTCATTAAATGAGACGCTGTGAGATCACCAGGTACAAAATCCGGCGGACTAGCTCAACGATGTTTAAAAGGAACGCCCACACTAGACCCATTGCACTTGAAATACCGTACATATGTCGCACTACTGCCGTTGTGGTACATGTGACGAGTGTTTAATAAAGCAAAGATGGCCATCTAAAGCAGAGGGAAAATCTCAAAAGTAAAAACACTTCCGTAGTGCGTGCGGGTAGCACCTCCACGCATTAAATTGGAGGAACAGGTCAGGAAAAAGAAAATTTTACATGCGTCTACGTCATTGTAACGGGGATCTTTTGAAACGAGGCACAGCATGTAGTTCATAACAGATACCTCTGACTTGACTTGTCGATTTTTTTTTGAAAAAAGAAAAAAAAAATCTTCAAACAAAGTGGCCTAATGCCTGGATAGTACTGATTGAGACAGGATGGTGGTATCAGTAATGAACTTATCAATGTTGATGTGAGGCGATATGCGACGAAGAGTAACCTGTAACCCAAGTCTAAAGATGTTGTACGAATTGTGTTGGAACCAATCGTATATGTAATCACCTGCTCCCGCGGGAACATGAGTTGAGACAAGTTTTCTTTGATGCCAAGCCTTGAAAAGATCCAGCTTCCAAGGCCCGGTTCTTTTGAGCATGCGGCCATATTTTGAGACGTTTGCTGCTATAATTGTCTTTCTCAACTTGCATACCCTCCTTCCCCATTGAAACTTTGTTGGCCAGTTGGCCATTGTCTGAGGGCGATGGGGAAAGTCGCAAAGCTATTTGTAAGGGTTTGATGTAGTGAAAGTATTCATTGCTTGCAGAACAGTCATTCGGCGACGAGCTCTTGTATTTTGTGGGTCGTAAAGGCCTGATGAACGTGGAATGTGATCAGAGGACGCAAGTCAATGATCAAAAATTGTGTGCTGATTCTGCAACCCCAACGTTTGGATCCACCTTGATATCTTTGACATCATCTTGGCTCGTAGGACTGCTCACATAGGGAAACGTAGCTAGTCGACTCTCGAGCATGTGGAAGGTTTCGCTATAGGCCTTGGACGGCACAGAATCGGGCTCGACTACCAGTGAGGCAGGATCAATCGCAATCGGCTTCGGATACGCTAAAAATTTCCTTCCACCACCGAGAGCATGATTGCCATTTACATCTCTGACACCTTCGGGAGACTGAGGGTCTGAATATGAGAATCTCTCGGCCAGGATTTTGCGTAACAAACGCTCGACCTGCTCGTCAGTAGGTCCTTGGGAGACTTGATGCTCCTCAAGTGTCGTGACACGCTCATGTAGCTCTCGAAAGCACAGTTCCGTTCTATGCATAAATTCATTACTATGGAGCGCATATCAGTGACCTTTGGACTAGAGCAATTTGAACGCCAGCGCTTACTACCACGACGCAATGCGTTCAAAAGAGTGGTTGATCCTCTGTAGTTGGAATGACCAGGACATCATGGGGTATCAACGAAAGGTAGTAAGGTCGTTGAGAGTGAGCAATGTGTTCGAGTTGGGATCTGTTAAGGGAAATCAAGCTTGAGACTTGGAAAAATTGGAAGGCGTAGGGACTTGCGTGATCACTGGAAAGATGACAGAGGCCAAAGCTAGAGAGTCGTCATTTCGGAATGGCGCGCGGGTAGCAACGACCTTAATGCCTGGATATCGCTAAGTCCCGCTGGTGGCTATGCATGCGCCTAGGTAGTTGGCCGATTAGTCCACAGAGAGACCATGCAGGGTGAGGCCCGATCAGCATGGGACAGCGATTTGGACATGGGTTACCAGCGGAATGCGGGTAAGAAGGATGGGCATTCTGAAGGATCTGGCTTCAGATTACCACAGGCCTGGGGAGTAGCGAGTAGTACCGGTAAGGTGCATACTAGGGCCCTTCTGATACACGTCGCACCGATTCGAGCTGTCTGTGCAGTGACCAGGCCCACTAAAGGGTACATGTAACCGAGCTTCCCAGATGGAGGAAATTGAAAATGGCCAAACAGAGTAGTGGTGCAGAAGAAGGCTACAGCGGCATGGGATCACAGAGTCAGGGGGGGCTAAGTGCCTCGTCCTCGTTCGTACCAGTACAAGGTACTGTAGGTAGCGCAGACAACGTGATCGACAATACTAGGTCAGGGGAATGGGTGCGTCAAGAGCCATGTGTGGCTTGCCATGACGGCTGGGGATCGTGGTTGGGCATGATGGGGGGGGGGTTCTCGCATTCGTTAGCTGATGGAGAGAGCCACAACCCTCAGCTTCCACGTTCGGGGGAGTGGGTTGCGGTGAGTGGGTCCCACAAGCGTATATGTCGATAGGTACACACAAACATACTACTGTACATGCTCAGTACAATGCAGATGCGCGGAAGCGGCTTCGATCCCCATCGGTAGCTTCGTGTGCATACCTAATATATCGTCGTCGGACAGTCAGCTGTCCATTTCCATCCCGTTGATCTGGTCGAGCTTGAGCCAAGCCTGGTCGTCCTCTTCGGCCGGCCGTTGCCTTCCGACGCAGCGTCCTCCATTTCTCACCTCACCGCATACCGGTACCGGTATGCCTTACTGGGCATTTCCACCACCGTCCCAGCCAAACACAGCTCCAATGTCTGAGCGCACATGTCTGGCCTCACATCACGGGCCAGGAAGCGCATCATCCTTCATGCTCTGAGAATCCATGCATCTCTCTGTCCAGCCATGCAGTTCACTGTCTGCGGTGGTAGTGGTTCTGTGTACCAGGACAGCTACCGGTACCTAAGCGACGAGAAGCACGTGTCCCGCGTCTGGTTCGCGTCAAAGAAACTCTAGGTACAAACTTGATACTATACAACAGGCCATCACGGACGCGACCGGACGCGAGCCCCGAACAGTCTTGGCTTCACGAATCACGGCAACTCATGCGCACTGCGTCTTCACAAATCTGATCGGTGAAAGAACTGCAGGTCACTGGCAAATACACCAGGTGCTGTTATCCTGGTTTAATTCGGCTGCTGATAACATACTTGGAGCCTGGCCCCTGACGTACCTGCCTACATCCCTGGTCCACCTTCTCGTAAGGCTTCCTCAAATTCCTCAAATTCAGATGGCAATACTTGTCGTCCCGTTATTTGGGATACACGATACACGATTGACCATCCTCGCCGAGAAGTATCACGTAGTAGCTGACTAGTCAGAGCCGGGTAGAACTGGACCACAATTTGCTGCAGTGAATGGATGCTTTATCTGACCTTGGGAACGCAGTCATCCATTCCTTGGTTCTCGTGACTCCTCCCCCAACGATTTCATCCAGGAACAAGTAATAACGGACAGCATCTGACTGACACATAACCCTCAGACATGATTACCGTCGGCAATGCTTACTGTGTAACACAGAAAAGGCACGGCAGTGCGATACACTTAGCTGCAGCATCGCAAGCTGGCGAACTGCTCCTTGGTCTCCACTAAGTTCCTGGCTATTGCGCCACATTTTCCCAGACCATACCCGATGAGTGCCAAAAACAGCCAGCTCAGTGCGCGCTATCTGCTACCTGCAGCACGTTCGAGGTAACGTGAATAAGGATGATGATCACACCTGTTCTAACCTGTAACTAGGTATGTGCCCTCCATCAAAGCTATGATCGACCCTTGCGAGTCATGCTACCAGCCACAATGCATTTGATGGAACAAGTATACACGCCTGGTCCATCAATCGATGATTGGTGCAGGGAGGCCAAGATGTTATGGGAGACTGGCGCCTTGTCACTTGAGTAAATGTCCTCATAACTTATCCACTTTGAAACGTGCTCAACGAGGTTCCTCAGTGGCCTCAACGATACAGTATACCAAGCGGGAAATTGTATACCAACTGCGAATCCATTGTCAATCAGCTATCGAAAGTCAGACTCCAAGCCCACTCTGTTTTAGAAGCCAAGCACAATGTACACACTGTTCCGCGGATCGTCGTTAAGCACTGCAGCTGCATGAGGATGCATTCAGCCACCCTGCGACGGCTCACGAAAACTCGCACCAAGCCGATGCGAGGTGAAACGTGATGAGGGCGTACAAACTCGTATCGACTGACTGACTTTTGTAAAGAATCTCGCCGGTCGCCGAGGCACTATGGATCGTGTGCCTCTCCACATGACTGCTCGGACCCTGTTTACTCAGGAAGAGGCGACAACAGCAACGGCCATGCGTTCGATGGTCGACCAGCTCATCAGGTTGGCACATGATACGAGATTGCGTCATCGAAAGCTCCGGAAATGACTTCCAGCCAGTGCCTCCGCGTCGCCCGCCTGCTCTTTCGCGGACCCTAGTCTTGCAGTCGTATTAACTGCTGCTCATTTATTGCTGAGACATCGGACGGACGGTGTCTTCACTCGGACTCACTTTTCAACGACTATCCAATCGTTAATAAGCCCCGAAATCCTCGCCCACATCCGGGGCTTGCAGATATGCTTCCGTTGCATCCACCATTCTAGGATTGCAAGGTTCTGTGGCGTCTCTCTATGCATCACGATGTCGGCTTGGAACTTGATGGATGCGAAGTTCCTTCGATTCTACAGCCAAATTTCACTTGTCCTTTGTTCTACGTCGCCAACTTACAAAATTTGAAATGATAGCCGAACTGCTCGGGGTAGTTACTAGTCATGCTCTCATACTCCAAATCCACCCTGGTCCCAATGCTCAAAGGTTATTCAAGAGTGCTCTAGAATCCGGCTTGCGGGTCAAGCGTCAGATACAAGATTGAATTAGTCGCTCAATTCATGGAGATCCCCGTTGGACTACTGCCTTGATCAGTAAATCTGCTTAAGTCCACCTCAGACTCGAGGTGATCCTGCACAACCTCAAAATACAATGCTGCGCCACTGTGCCATCAGGGACTCATGCACCAAGTTTGAAGTCTCATCATGCTCGTCATCGCCGATGACATCTCGCTTAACACGCTTCACGGATAGCGGATCGATCCTTCCGTTGGCTTATTACTCGTAAGTCGTGTTATGCTCATGACCTGGAAACGCTCAATGGCTACCGGCCCCTGGAGGAATTGCTCGCGTCCTGCGCTTGCTTGGACTTTCCTCTCTTATCGCAAGGTGCATAACCTGACTCGACAATGCGATAGGTAGACTCTCCCCAGAATACCTGATTCCTGGGGACGGACAACGCTTGTACATGTGTTTACCTCCCCAGACCTAGGCCAGCACGATTTGTCGAAGCAAGGATACTGCAAGTAGTATAAGCGCAATACTGCTCACTGCTGGTGATCTGTTGAGTATAGTGGCATGACGTTTGCGACTGTGTGACTTGAATGCTCCCAACGGTGCCCCGAGAGAAGGTTGAGCAACCATGATCTTTGATAAGCTGATGTTGCCATCCATACCACGGACATAGGACACTAACCAACATTAACAACGTCGTCGCAGGATGTTCCGCTGGTGTATCACAGGTGAGACAAGATCGACTTGCATACGCGCCCTGGTGAGGTCTCTGCATGATGTCAGCTCGCCACATTCTGCAGAAAGTTAATTTTTTATTGAAAGATTCTGGGCGGTATGCATAGGGATACTATACCTTTAGCACATTAGGGCTATTTGAAAAGCTCTACGGCGTCCGATATACCATGAGGAGATGGGAAATCGGCACCTGCACTACCACTCATATAACTGACTGCAATCATGTTGATCCCACTGACTAGTGAGTGTAGCCGCTTCGATGGCATTATTGTAGACATCGCCAGTGAAATGTGATGGGCACCTCGCGTCAGACCTCCGGAGCTGATCTTCGTCGGTGATCCTCGGTGTGGCAGCCTGGAAGGAATTCACCTCAGCGGAAGGTAGGCAGCTCTGCAAACGGACACGGAGATTGGTTGCTTCTTGTTGAATTTACAGTGAGCTTGACCATGACCATGACCATGGGGACGCTGACAAGGGCACTATTTCCCACGAATTATATCAGCGGATCCGGGACATGTGAGATTCGTTGAGGTGCACGCGGAGTTTGTTCTTTGGCTTTTCGAAAGCCTGGGGGAAGTCCATCCCATTCCCCGATTTTGCAGAAGGTACCTAATCTTTACTCGACGTCCGTGACGATGTTCGCTGTAGTCGTCTTCTTTCCAGCTAACAGAGATACATTTCCCGACTTGACTTTGAATCAGCCTTGCCTTAGTGTAGTACTTATGTGTAAGTACTAGGTCTCATTAGCAGTGATGCAAAGCGGCCCGCAGTGTTGGAACAGGCTTAGTATTGAAAACACTACTGTTTGGTGAGCTGTCTAATCAATCGTAAAACACTTAGGGGGCCTGATAGACTGTGAATTCTAGGTCTACCATAGTATACTCGTTTAACAGATGCTCTTTGCTGTAACCAGCAAAACTGTAATCAGTCTTCACCCTCAGGACACTCGTTCTTGTACAAAGGATTGACTTCCACCTCTCGAGACCAAAGTGCCCACGGCCTCGCGATTGTACCTGAAATAGACTCCCACGCATCATGCGACTCTCTGTCACTGAGATAGTGCAGACCGCCTTCCGCCTTGGCCTTGCCACTCTTGATTTTCCCGCCAGCCTCAACATCCACCTTGCCTTGGACTGCATAGCCAGTAAACGCGTTCTGAATCGTCAAGCCAGTTGTCTGCACCTTTGCAGCTTCTTTGGTGTATATCGCCTGATACACCGCTTCCTCAATGCCGTGAGCCACAGTCGTAAAGCCGTGCCCCTTTTGAAGAACGACGGCATGATCTGGCTCCAGCTTTGGTTCCGAAGTCGCGCCCCCGAGCTGAGAGGGAAGTGCAGATCGTACTTTGGAGTAGATGAACCCGGTGGAGGTTGCTGGCTTGAAGGTTGCAGCAAGAGACGAACCCATGGTGGCATCGCGGACAAGAAGATCATGCTTCGAACCGGAAGGATAGTGGCCAGAAGCGTCCCAGACAGGTACATTTGTGCCTATAAAATCGCACGTCAGCATTTCGTAGGTACAGCAAAAATCTGGTGGCCATTTACCGAGGAATCCAGCCATGTGTATACTAGCCTTCAGCGGCACATCGCTAACACAGTACGGCAGCACGTCGCCAGCATGACTATGTACCACGGTATTGATCGCCGGAAATCTTTTGTAGATCTCACTGTGTATGTGTCGTTCAAGATACCCTGGTTTTGCATCCTTCTCGACCGCTTCCGCTCCATCAACATGATACTCGACAAGATCATCAGAGGTGCTGATCAAAGCCGGAGGCGTATTATACGGCATCCAAAATGTGGATGAATTGTCCGGACTGCGGACTGAGATATGGCCGTACGCATCAAGTACGCCATTGTTGTGGAGGATGTGGGATGCTGTCACTAGGCCTTTGAACAGGTCTTCAAGGCCAACCTTTGTGCGCTTGGGAAAGTATCCTGCCGACATGGTTTGTGTAGATGGTGTGTTGGGACATGATGGGCAGGACGGTGGAGTGGGATGAATGTGATGCTGTGCCTGCCTTGGAGGGCCGAAGACGATGACGTGGGTTGCACACAAGCGGGCACTACGGGGGAAGAGCGGTTAGCTTGGTTTCCCGACTATTTCGAAATATGGATTTGGGAACCCTACCAAGTATGATAGAAAGTCATCGTCTTGACTCGGCCAATTCTTCAAACTAGTTTCAGTGACCTCGGCCCATGAATTCTGGGGCTTCCATCACTCTGCCATGGGTATATCACTCACTGCGTACACAAGATCTGCTTGCTATCGATGATACTCGACAGTCAAAGCTACCAATAGAATAACCGATTTTCTGGGCTATCATTGGCCATCAAATCCTGTGGACAGTTTGATTTTCCCTCACCAGGACGTTAGGGAGGCTGAATGTATTGTAAAGCAGCTCACACGTGAAGGCATCTGCTCTTCCAACTCAGTGGTTGACCCGCGTCGCAAGTTTCTCTCACTCAAACGGACCTGAGCGCCAATCAAACAGTCGGTGAGCTTCGAGCATTTAGATACCTCGACACAAGATTGGCCCAAGAGTCGAGTTGGACTTGCTGCTAAATTAGGTGACGGTCTAGCTGATGTGGCTGTTGAATTAGTCAGACATTTGGAATTCTGTAGTCAGTTCCATGGGACGTTGGCGGCACATGCAATGAGAGATGGAGGTTACCCTCTTTCCCCTCTTCGAGTACACAAACCAATTAGCCGGTCTGAAGTCAAACAGATATCATATCATGGGACATCATGTGATGTTGGACTGACAAAGGGAGCACGTGATGTCCAGAGGCAAACTTGCCCTGGCCGGGGGGGAACCATGGCAAGGCCCAGATTGATTTGGGGCAAGAGAACCCCACTAGTGGACCCTTAAGCTTGGCCCGCCCGCCATTGGCCAGTGCCCTTTGGTGTCTCCACCCCTCCGACCCGGCCAGGGGTCCAAGCAGAGAACCGTGCGTCCGGTATTTGACATGTTCCCTCGCTCCGCCAATCAGACGTCGCCTAACAAAACCAGCAAAACCGCCCCAAAACAGACAGACCCCTGTCGCGGTAGGCGCGGGTCTAGATTGGTTTAGGAGTACTACTGTGTTTAGTAAGGGTCAATGCTATGACATCACCGCCTCCAACCTGCATTCGCAACCCCCATCTCTCCCTCGCGCAAGGGGCCGCCCCAACCTGCTTGTTCACAGCAAAGAAGTCGCCAGCAATTTTGCCAAAATCCCTGACTCTCCTCCCTGTACTACAAGTATTCCCTACCACTACTTCACGTGCTTGTATTGTACCACCACAGTACTACCGGCACCAAGAGGGGCTGTGCGCAAGGCTGATCTCATGCGATCAACATGCATGCTTGCGTCACAGCCGCTGGTTTGCCCGGGTGGCAAAACAGAAGCCAGGGCGTGTGAGTGTGTCTCGCGAGCCTCATCCATCTGCCATGTTACAAGTGCCGCCGCCGCCGCCGCCGCCGCCTCGCTGCAACTACCGGGTAAGACAGAAGGAACCAGCAAAAAAGCACGCCTACCAGTACTCTGCCAGCACCAGACCAGCACCAGCACCAGCACCAGCACCAGCACCAACGACGGCCCCAGAGCCAGCCAGCCCTTTCCATACACCTGCACTTGGTTCGCGGAGAGCACCATACACATTATTGTGGCTGATACTTATACGCGGATTAGGTTCCGCAGACGCGGGTGAAGTTGGTTGTTTGATGATTCCTTTTCCACACTGCCTGGCGCCTGCCATTTAGTTTTTTTATTTATTTCTTCACGCCTGTGTGCCTTGCTCTTTATCTTGGCCCAGCCTGCGACCTCGTTCCCTTGTATGCGACTGCGTTTCGTGGCTTCAATTGCATCGCGCCATTGAAGATTCGTTGCGCCCTCGTTGCCAACCCACAACCCCACTCCCTTTTACATGCTTATCCAGGCATTGGAGACTCTGGGAGAGGCCATGGCGTTCACAGATGCCGCCCCAGATGTATCCTCATGTCCCAATTGCCAATCAACCTCCTCGTCCTCGGCCACCCGAGGCCGCACTCCCACACAGCGTTCGCATACCGCAGATGTCGAGGCCGAAGCCGCATACCACAACCATAATCACTCCTCCTTCTCCTCACATTACCACCATGACCATGACTACGAAAACGACCGAAGATTACCCGGCATGGTCTATGTCGTCACAGACACCTGCTACCCATCCGCATTAGACTTTGACAGGAACATTGGCATCACATCAGTCATATCTGTCCACGGTTCGAAATCAGCTGCCAATGAGCGAGCGAAGAAGATCATTTACGAAAACGACGGAGGATGTACGGTGGACATTGACAAGATCATCGAGGAGGTGAAAAAGGGGCTATACACGGGCATTGGCGTGGGCGGCAAGGAAGAAAAGGATGGATGTTGTTTCGCAAGAAAGTGCGAGGTCGAGGCGAAAATAGTCGATGAAGACAGCGAAGACGAAGGGAGTGGAGATTCCGTCATGTATGGTGGTGGCAGCGACCAGGAGAATAATAGCAACAACAACAACAGAAGTCGAGAGGCAAATGGCAGAGACGGTGGCCAAGAGGGAGACATTGACATGAGCTGAAACACGAGAGACAGACTGGCCACTTTGACGTGCCCATATTCCCTGGACGATAGAGACGAAGAAGACTATTAATACCACCTTTCAACGCATTGTTCTCCACAAACCCAGCTCTGCCGTCTCTCGCAGCATAACAAAAACATACCTACACCACACTCGCAACACCCCTCTCCATCTCCATCTCCATTCTCCCAACACCCCACAACCACACAACCATTCTCCCACCCACACACTCCACGAAACCCGACAATACCCCACACTAGATACCAGCCTCCAAATACCAATACCAGATACCAGACACTAGATATCAGTACCAAATACCAAACACCACCAACCCAGTTCCAAGCCCCCCCAGCCCCTAAACCCGCACCTCTCCCCAACCCCCACGCCCAAGATCCTCCATTTCTCATTTCTCATTTCCCATACCCAGCCCACCCCCACACCAGCGAAGCCCAACCTCCGACAAGCACATGCATGGTACTGTAGATACCCAGCGCTCCACAACCCGACAGACAAATACTAGGGCGAGGCAAGTGTCGGGGCAGGTGTACCGAGATCACATGACTGCGTGAAGAAATTTTGGAGATTTCAGGGGGGAAACAAAAAGGAGAGCTAGAAGGAGAAGACGTAGACGTTGTTCGGCGTGTAAGTAGCACGCGTGAATGTCGCTGCGAGATGGGGTGGAGATTGGGTAGATTGGAGTTGGGGTGATGGGAGAGGGAGGGGGATGGGATGGGATAGGATGGTCGAGGAAGAAGAGAAGAGAAGAGAAAAGGTTAGGACAGGGACAATACGAGCCTCAAGAGTACTTCTCCCCTTACGCACCTCGTGGAAAACAACAGACCGTTTTCTTTTTTCTTAATAGATGCATGTATTTTCTGTTCCCTGATACCAACACTACACTTTTTCCCTTGCACCAACACAACCAACCCCATGTGCTTACAAAAAAAAAGAGAGCACAAATCCTCTTCATCGCCACATGACGCACACTGACACATACTGACACACACACACTCACACTCACACACGTACACACTCGATTCCATGTTTTTGCCGACCAAAAGATCCTAGCGCCACCCGGCTGCAGATGCTACTACTGTCCGTAATTCCTATTGTACAAAGGAGAAAAAGATGAGCAAAAGGAAAACAAAAAGGGGAAGAAGAGGAAGAAAATCATGACAAAGAAGCCGTCAATAATGATTTCAGAGAGAGAGGATATGGCGCTGGTGGAGTAACAAAGACAACACCAACGATAACAAACACTCGGCCATTAGTGCGTGCCTGTAAATCAATCCTTGGTCGCAGCTTGTTGCTCACTTGCTGGCTTGGCATCGAGCTTCTTCTCCTCCACGCTCTTCTCCTTGATTTGGTCCTCGACCGCCTCGACCGTAGGCGGCAATTCGCTGGGCTCCGCCACTTTCCCATTGCCCTGCGTCTCCGGGTTACGGCCCTCGGCATCGGGGTGAGGGGGTGCAACGCCAGCCTCTTCCACTACGTCGTGGGCTTCAAGCAAGGCCTCGTAGATTTCTACTCCCTCCGCATTGATGACCCGCGTGCGCGTCTCATAGCGCGTCTTGAACTCGACCTTTCCGGCGAGTGCCGCTACTTCCTCGTCGCCAAGAATCCGGCCGTTCTCGTCGCGGTACTCGATGCGCTCTTCCTTGGATACGGCAGGCAGATCCTTGCGAACCTCTTGAGGTGGGACAGAGACGGCGGGCTGCTCTGAAACTACATCTTCCTTGTTTGCCTTATTGGAAAGCTCCTGTTGAGGAGCTGCCTGCTGATGAACGACTTGTTGCTCGACAGGAGGTGCAACAGGCTTCACTGCATCAGGGGTTGCAGGGATGGAAGGAACTACTGATGTCTCTGGGGAGCTGTATGCTTCGTACTATCGGGCGTTAGTAGTGGCCAAGGAAGCCGCAGAAGGAAGACTTACAGAAGTGAGGAAGTTGTTGCAGTCCCAGTCCCAGGTATTAAAGAGCTTAACGCTGTTACAAGCGTCTCTGGTCCAGGCGTTGCCGTAAGCCAGCGGAGAGTAGATGGTGAAGACTGTAATAGCAAGCGCCAGAAACCCGACTGCTATACTCTGACCTATAGCAGGGTATTGCTTGAGTCCGAAGGCGTTGAAGCGGTAACTGACAAAATCGAGCATTTGACACAAAGCGAGAATAGCAAAGTACAAGGCGGGTAGGTAGTGGTGCAGGAACAATTGACGAGCCATCAGGTAGAATGGGAAATAGTGGAATGCCCATCCGAGGATGCTCATTCCAACTTCGTAATCAAAACGCTTGAAGGTGACGTTGCTGTAATCACGGTATCCACGCTGCCATCTGAGCACCGCGAGACCTTTGATCGCAATGTAAAGAGCGATGAGAGCCGTAGAACTCCACCAGATGACTGGGTTTCCCAGTAGATAGATCTGGCGGTAGTGTTTCCCCCAGAAGTTGATACCACGACGCAGGATTGGCCAGGAGGGTGGACGAGAGTCCCAGGCATGGGATTCAGTAAGACCGGCGTTAGTCTTCCACATGACCTTCTGCAGTTCCCAGAACTTTCCGAAGAAACCCGGATTGCGGTAGTTCACCTTCTCCGTGTTTTCATCCATCAATGGGTGGACGTTCCCTTCGATATACCAGATACTGTTTGGCAGAGTACCACCCCTTGCGCAAGTAACCTCTTGTTGCTCAAAACCCCAATCTGGTAATTTAATCTTGTGGGAGAAGAGGGTGCAGCCAGTCATGATATGAACAAGCTTAAACTTTGTCTGAATCGTCCGAACACGCTTCTTCGCCACAGCCCCATCAGAATGACTCTTAACAATCTCGATGCGAAAAAGATCATTGGCATCCCCTTCGAAGCCTTCGTATCCGTAGGCTGAGACTTCATTCTGCCAATCGGCCTCGGTGACCGGGGCACGAACATCATGAGAGTGGAGACGTCGGTCGGTGGTGATGTGGTACAATCGAACAGTGGCGCCGTCTTCGATGTGAATAGGCCCAAGACCATCCCACGCCTTTGGGCTGGTGAGATTAGGGCCAGAGTAGTCGTCAGGCATGATAGGTAGAGTCTGGTTCTCCATGATCCAAATGTTGTTCTCGTCCTTGTGAGGGTACAGAGTAATCTGCTGTTGTTTGCTGCCAGTCGGGTACATGTGGCTGTGCGAGTGAAGATAGCCTCCTTGAGTATTCCAATGGCGGATAGAGACGCGACTTCCAAATGCGACGTCAGCCGGAACAGCCTGCATTGCCTTGGAGTTGAGTGTAGCCTGGAATTCGGAAGACATGAAGCCGTCGCCTTCGCCCGGATTCACCAGGCAAAGAAAGTGAATTCCGAACATGGCCATGTAAAAAGAGACTGGGATCACCACCAAGCAGAACAGGCGCGCGAAGAAGTGCTTGAACCACAATCGAGGGGTAACGTTCTTCGTGTCTCCGAGCAGGACCCAGAGTTGTAGAAGCGTCAAACTTCCAACCCATGCAATTGTGAACAGACCGACCCATTTTACACTGACGGTGGCACCAAGTCCAAGACCAGTTGCCACTAGCCAGAACCACCAGGAAGGCTGGAAAGCTTTAGCCGGTCCTTGTTCGTGCTGGTTTGTGAAACTCGTCCATGCCAGAGCGGTGGCGGCCGTGAAGATGATGAGGGGAGAATCGAGAAGAATCAGACGAGACTGGGTCACAAGAGCATTGTCTACATGTACTCAGTATGTCAAAGCTCGGCTTGCGCATTCCAGCACTTACCGAAAATAACAAGACCCGCACCCAAGGCTGCAGTGGTTGTCCGGCAGCCGGCGGCCTTGAGGGTCAGGAACATGGTAGGAATGGTCAGGACACCGCAGATGGCAGGTAAGAGACGCATGGTAACGTATGGAACGCCGGGTTCGAGGTAGTCCTTGCCAATGTCCTTGAAATCGAAGTTGCCATCGAAGCCGCCCAGCCATCCTGCCAGTGTGATGAGGAGTTTCGCCAGCGGTGGGTGAACATCCATGAAGAATTTGCCCTTGATATACTTGGACGCAAATCCACCAAAGCTAGCGCACAGTGTTAGCATAGTTGCAGAGATGCTGCACTGCTGCATACATACTGGACCTCATCGAAGACGACGCTGGTGGGTTGCTGAATTCTAAACAGCCTCACTAAGCAGGCAATGAGCGTCAAACCGAACAGCAGCTGCCAGTCTGAGCCAGGAAGATTGAAGATGTCATGATCTTCCACTCCCTCGGAAGCATAACTGGCGACGTGCTGCTTTGACTTCTTCTGCTGCTGCTTTCGTCCATTGGGCGCGGGTGATCGTGCGGGGGAACGAGCGGGAGAGCGTGATGAAGATTTGCCTGAGCGGCGCGATGGAGGCTTATCGCCCAGATACGCGCCCGAAGATGGGTTCGCCATGGGGAAGGCGGCGGAGTTGGTGGTAGTGGGTGGTGATTGTGGTGGTGGTGGTGGTCAGATGGGATGCGGCTCGCGGAAGCGGGTGGGTAAGGCAATGTCCTGACTGCCCTGGCCGAGCGCTGCAAACAAGATGAACGAGATTACCAAAGTGAGCTTTCCCGTGAAGGCAACAGCAATTAAAGAAAGTACGAAATGGATCCCATGAGAAAGGCCAGGCGGGCGTCGCAGTGGTTTATGAGAATGCCAGGGGCACTGGGAGGAGTAACGAACAGCTTGCAACTAGGGTGCGTTACCACAAAACGGGCCCTTGCCTGATCTGGGAGCGAGGCAGCTGAAAATAGACGCGACCCATCGGTACGCCTCTCGCTCCCTCGCCACAGGCTGCGGGCTTGTTAGGAGCAGAGAGGGGAAGGGGTTGCGTCTTGGTCATTGACCTGGACTGCTCTTTGCGGCACACAATCAGAGTACCGGTAGGGCCAGGGACTACTACCGGTACCTCACACGCTACAAGTCGGTGCCGTAGTAGTTTCAAAGTATGGGCGCCCCTGGCACCTAGCCATCGACTATTCTCTACATTACGCCGAAATGCTGTCTTGTGTGTGTGTCTGTTCCACTCCGCATCTGTGGCTTGACGCGTCTGTGGCTGGTGCAGGACTGGTCCATGCGCTCACCACCGGGGAATCTTTGCCCAAGAGCTAGCTGGCTGCCTGGCTGGCTGGCTGCCAACTCCAAACTGTGCGCCCCGTCTGCCCTCTTAACCTCTGCACTTATCAATTTCTCGACCGAGTCGACGTCTCTCCGGTTCGCCCTCGACTTGCGCCACATTGTGAACCATTGTGAATAGGCAAGAACAAGGACAAGGACGCGACAACGAAAATCAGCAGCTAGCCATCTGCGACAAGTCGCGACCCGTGGAGACTACGCTACCACCCACGCTCTCACCACAGCCATGGCCGCTTCCAATGGAGAGCCTGCCGCTGCTATCCCGCACGAGCTGGATGTGAAGCCTCCGTCAGACGTCGTCATTCCCCCGCCCAATGTCCGCGAAAATGTCGCAAAGGCGGCTGATTTCATCTACCGTCGAGGCGATAGCCATCTGGCCAAAATGAAGTTGCGTGTTGCTAACGAGCCGAAGAGCAACCTTACGTTTGTACTCGAGGACGACCCATACCATAGTTACTTCCTCTGGTATCTCCAGCAGTTGAAGGAGGGTCACGGATTGTCCGCAAGCCAAAGTGCGCGACCAGCGGCCGACAAAACGCCAAAAGGCCCTCCGGAGCCACCCAAATTTCGCTTCTCTGCGCGCATGCCCAACATAAGCGCAAAGGACCTGGAGGTGCTCAAGCTGACAGCGCTGTACACTGCACGTGTGGGCGAGAACTGGTTAAAGGACCTGCGCAACCGCGAATCCGGCAACTTCCAGTTCGACTTCCTTAGACCCAATCATAGCTTTTTCCAATTCTTCCGGTCTCTAGTCGAGCAATACAAGATCCTGCTTGAAGAACAGGAAACAGTCGAGGCTCGCATAGAGGAGTTGCAGCACAACATCAAGAATCGCTTCCACATCTTGGAGAGAGCCAAAGGGCGGGCCGAGTACGTCAAGTATGTGTCAGCCCAGAAGGAAAAGGAGATCAAAAAAGCAGAAGATGAGCACAAGGAATTCGCCAGCATTGACTGGCACGACTTCTCCGTCATTGCCACCGTTCTCTTCGACGACGCCGACGACGCTGCCGAGCTACCGCCCCCCGCGCTTCTCAACGATCTCCAATCTCAGTCTCTTGAACAAAAGGCAATGGTATCCCTCTCGACGAGGCGCCTCGAAGAAGCTATGCCAGACGAGCAGACCTATTATAATGTCAGTCAGCAACAGCACATGGTGCCACCGCCAATGCCGCACATGCAGCCGAACTATGGTCCAACGGCGCCGCCGGTACAGGTACCCTATGGAGCGCATGCGCCCCCTCCACAGGATCACCGCACACCGGCGCAAGTAGCGCGTGAAGAGGAACAGGCTCGGATGGCAAGAGAACGTCAAGCAGAAAGCGACCAGAGAGCACGCGCTCAGGCTGCCGCGAGGGGAGCGCCTGGCCGCATTGTCACCGACTACGTTCCTCGCGCTGCGAAGAAGGCGAATGTTGCAATGGCCGTGTGCCCCAACTGCAAGCAGCAGATTCCTTCGAATGAGATGGACGAACACATTCGCAGTAAGTGCTCCTGCTTCTGCCTTGCAGCGATTATACTAAACATTTCTAGTCGAACTGCTGGATCCTCGCTGGAAGGAACAGCGAGACAAAGCCGAGGCTCGGTACTCGACCACGATCAACACAGCCGATGTTGCGAACAACCTCAAGCGTTTTGCTAGTCAGCGTGAGGACATATATGACGGTGCCACCGGACTCCCGATATCAGCAGAGGAAGAGGCTCGGCGGAAGAAGGCTGCCCTCTCGTACGACGGGCAGCCAGATCCGGCCAAGGATGCGGCTCGCCTGTCCCAGATGCAGAGCATGAATGTTCAAGAACAGCTTCGCCGTATTCAGGAAAAGCATCGACACTGAGCGAGTTTGGATAGGTACCTGTGGTACATGTGGCATGCACATGCATGCGCTTCTCTTTCCATGTACGTCCTAATCATACTTGAGAGTTTACTGTATGGCATTGGGCGGCGTTTAGGAGCAATCATCAGGTGTATACCCCTGGAAAATGAGACGAGGTGCAGGACAGTAGTGTAAGATTATTTTCGCAATATAGTCCAATTCATCATAAAGCGTCTTGGGATGCTCTGTTCAAGACCCGTTTGCCTACCTTATTGCTAATGGATGATTGCCCTGCGTCGATGGGGGAAATCCGAAAGGCCATGGCGTATCCACCGCGGGGATCTGCAACCAGTCGGACTTCTACAGCTTTCCTCCGAGCTTTCGGTCATATGTCATAATCAACAATTATTTCCATGCGCAACATCACTTCGTTGTGCTCTCACACATTACAACATGTCATTACCACAAGCAATCAAAGGCGATATGCCTTACCAAGTGCGCTCCCTGGTACGTGTCTCCTATCTGCGATTGCCCATCCGGATCGAATTCGGCGCCCCTTGGCTTATTGCCGCCTTGCGACACAAGAAACCACCTGGCGGCCACGATTCCCCACCACCTGCCACCAAGTCTGAAAACACGTATGAGCGATTGAATACTAACTCGTCGCCTAGTATCGCTCCTTACTGCGGCAAGGCAGCCAATTCGCCGCCTACAACTTCCGTGAATACGCCAAACGGAGAACGCGCGATGCCTTTCGGGACAACAAGAACGTGGCGGAGGAGAGACAAATACAGGAGCTCGTGCAGAAGGGTATCAAGGAGCTACAGGCGCTGAAGGTGCGTACTTGGATCCAGAGAAGGATGATGCGGACATTTCTTGCCACAGACAACGCCTGTTATTGCCTCTGCGTGGTGCTATCAAAGTGACTGTTCGTTGCGGTGGCAGAAAGAGAAGGACGCTGAATGGTTTCGAAGTAGATCTAACAGTGTTCACAGAGGCAAACTGTCATTAGTCAGTTCTACCAGATCGACCGCTTGGTGGTGGAAGGCGGAAGGGAAGGGAAGCAGAAGGGCGAGGGTAATGACATCATGAGGGTTAAAGACCAGGTAGGTCCTTGTTAAAAGAGAAAAAAAGATTGCTTGATGGAAGAACAGATGCTGACGTAGATTCAAGGGCTGGGATTGAGTGAGGCACAACGTTGGTGATGAAGAATCGAAGGTTGGCGAATGCTCTTACGACCAAACATGGCACATCTCTCACGCAGCCACAGAGAGCAAATGCAAATAGGCCATCGGAAGGTCAAGGCTAGTTGGTAGTTTTGATCATGTAGAATTGGACTTGTAACATTATTGAGGTCTGCTGCGCACACAAAAGCACATGGCTGCTTGTGGACAATGTTCAGCAATGCCATGCACCCGAACGCTCTACTCACAACATCAGCCTCCTCATCCTGACCGAGGGTCTATTGGAGCCATCGTAGTACGCATTTCACGAGAGATGACGAGAAGTGCTCAACCGCGTCAGCTTGGCCTGGAGCGCTTGAACAGTGCCGTGCCCAGGTGTGACATCTGGGAAGCCTGGCGAGAGTTTTTCCTCAGGCCGAGCTTGGGATAGTGGCGCACGGGGCAACCTCCAACTCGACCCCGGGCCCCGACGCGCTTTCGCATCACTGCATCGCGACTTCCCGTTGCATTGCGCCAACAGCAAACGCGCCTTCACCTACCATTCGCAAACAAAACCAATAAGATAGCAGCGTTGCAGCATGGCTCCGGTACGTATAAGCCGAATCCTCCATCCATGGCGCTCAGCTGCGTGGTCTTCCAGACACGTTACCGGTACTAGTCCACAGGCGCGCGCAAGACTCTCTCAACATATCTACCCTCCATCACATCTGACTGCAATTGTTTCTCCTCAACGCATGAGCGGGAAAAAGAAGGTAGTGATGCTATCGACGTCGGCCGCCTAGGCCATGGACCCTTCTCAGCTCCTGTAACATGGCAGACTGAGGAGCCATACACACTTGCCAGGATGCATAGCCCACAGAGATTCCTTGCGCGCGTCCCAGACCTCGACCCAACGAATATCAAAGATGATGGTTATATTTCTACCAAGTCGGGCTAACATCATGTGACCAGTTCCGCAACCGGGACCGATCTAACAGGTCTGGACGAGGACCAACAGAACATAATGTCTTGGAAGGTCTTCCCATCAGTCAATATCGTGAGGCAGAAATCACTATTGGACCGAACTCTAGCGACAATAAGCCCCTTGATAAGGATGCTTGGCCTGAACTGCCCATGCCAAGAGACTCACATTTGTTACCTTTCCATTCTCAACAACTGCTCCGCGCTGCGCGCTCGGGAAGGACCGTCAAGCCGCCAGCTCCAATAGAGGATGATAATGAGATGAAGGACGAAGAGGAAGAAAGCAAAGAAATGCCAATTGGATTCACAGTCAAGAAGTATGTCAAGGTTCCAAGGCATCTTGAAACGCCAGAGCCCGAGTTCCTCGCGAAGAGGAGAAAAGGCTTGCCATCACAGTATGTAAATGGCCAGATTGCACCGGCTTTACGAGAGACCAAGGTCAAGAAGCTTGACGCAGAAGGAAACGTTGCTGTGTACAAGGTTCTTGTACCGGAAGGGCAGGCTGTTGAGGGGGAGGTTCAACCCACAGATGCAGCTATGGAAGCCGTTCCAGCAACGGCAGCGCCAGGCACGATAGTAGAGGGAGTTGGTGTTGTAAACGCAGAGGGTGTGGTAGTCGCCAACGACATCCTACATCAGACGCCGCCAAGAAGACGGCCGCCGCCTCCAAAGAAAAAGAAGACGCGTGGAGGACCTGGCAGGGGCAGGAGAAAAGTGGCTTTCGCCGAAAGATCAGGCGAAAAAGGCACTCCTTCGAACACAGGTGCTGACTTGCTTTCTACTTCTGCTCTAGCCCGTGAGGATGGATCGGTTGTGCCTTCTGATGGCGGTGACACCCCAATGGCCGATGCTGGTGGTGAGGATGACGAGGGTTCCGGCGAGGAAGGGTCAGAAGACGAGGATCACGATATGGAGCGGAATTCGACCCCTGTAACACCTCTACGGCTTCCATCAGCACCTCCTACAAGCACACCGGGCCCCAAAGATGTCGCCATGCCAGATGCAGCCCCCGCTGAGCCGTTGCCCAGTGCAGCAGACCCGGTACCTGCTGTTGTGGAGACCTCGGAGCCAACAGCAACAAGCGAGGCACCTGTGTTACCAGAAGCTGTGCCTGAAGTCAAGGAGGAGCCCAGCGTCAAGCGTGATGCTTCGAGTTCACCAGATTTGCCCCTTTCCCACAGCAGGCACAACTCGCTTCCGCAGGTCCCCACCCCTCTGCCAACCACCGATGCCGCGGCGCCTGAGCCTACCGTCAGCGAGCCTACCGTCAGCGAACCTACCGTCAGCGAACCTACTGTCAGTGAACCCACCGTGAGCGAGCCTACCGTCAATGAGCCTACCGTCAGTGAGCCTACCTTCAGTGAGCCTACCGTCAGTGAGCCTACCGTCAGTGAGCCTACCGTCAGTGAGCCTACCGTGAGCGAGCCTGCTGTTTCTACTGTGCAGTCCGATTCTATACCAGCGCCTATGCTTGCACCAGAACCTGTGGTCGTGGGTAATCCGGTTGCTGTGTCTGAGCCTGAAGCCACAGAAACTCCGCCTGCTATCACCTCAGCACCACCTTCAGAGCCGGATCTGTTGGGGAGTCTGGAGAGGCAGCTGGAGAAGGATAGCAAGGAAATGGCAGGATAATAAATCATACATTGCACATCACTGTTAACATAGTCATTTTCAGTACGCCGTCGTCAACCCCGACTTCGCCGAAGATATTCAGCAATCTAGAGCGGGCGCTTGAATAGGAGAAGGATCTGCAGTGGACACGGTGAGCCGATATTCGAAACAATCGCTTGGAATCTTTTTCAGAGCAAAAGGTGCTGTCGCATTACGTGATTGAGAGCAAGGAGGTCACACAGAAGGAAACAAGTTTGCAAAAACGGGGTTTTTTTGGAGGTCCAACTGCTGGAATTCTTTCAGGACCAGGGGTCTTGAACAGCTCCACATGTTGTCAAACTTTTTGTATACGATTGTATGAATACGGCTCGAGGACAAGGACATTTATATGCGTCGTTCATCAATCGGGTTCGATGAAATGAGACTACTGAGGTTTTCCGCTTCCCCAAACAGCTAATCCTGCGTACGTCCAAATCGCGTTGCTCACATAGCTAGCCCCACCACCCCACGTCATTATTAACTTTGTCCGGCGGGAAGCTCTACATGTACCCCTCACAAAGATTACTAAATCTGGCTACTCTAGACTAGGATCTTTAGTTGACGGTGTGAAACTCGTCCGAATGCCGACGCAATCACCGCCCTTGATTGTGTCTTTGGTGGTTCAGAAGAACTACATACAAATAACTTCTCCCTGCACATTAATCAACCGATCAAAGTGACACCCAATATGCCGTCCATTAGTGAGATTGTCAAGGCACACAGGCCTGAGCTGGGACCGTACGAGGAGCTATGTGAGCATCGTCTGATATTCAAGATGAAATCCATGCTGACAAATCGCAAGACAAGTGGTTCCACGCCCATCCTGAGCTTTCGTTTCAAGAGAGGACCACGGCGGCAGCAATCGTCAAACACTTGGAGAGCTTGAATGCTTTTGAGATTCATCCCTCAATCGGTGGCCACGGTGTTGCTGCTGTGCTGAGAAATGGAACCGGCAAGACACTATTGCTCCGCGCAGATATTGATGCTCTGCCTGTGGAGGAAAAGACCAGCCTACCTTATGCCAGCAAGGCACGTATGAAGGATCTTGATGGCGTCGAGAAGCCAGTCATGCATGCGTGTGGTCACGACATGCATATCACGGCTCTATTGGGGGCTGCAGAGACCCTGGTCAAGGCAAAGGCGGAGTGGACTGGAACGCTGATTTTGGTTTTCCAGCCAGCAGAGGAGAGGGCTAGGGGAGCGCAAGATATGCTTGATGATGGCCTATATGACAAAGTGCCAAAGCCAGACGTCGTAGTTGGTGCACATGTCATGCCTGAGCGTGCAGGTGTAATCGGTACAAAGCACGGCTTGATAGCCAGTGCAGCCGATTCTTTCCAGTGAGCATGCTTCCAAAACGTATACGTATAGCTTCCGCTTATACAAAGCAGACTCAAGATCGAAGGCAGGCAAGCCCATGCCTCGACTCCGCACCGCGGCATCGACCCCATAGTTCAAGCAGCATCCACCATTCTCCGCCTCCAGACCGTGGTGTCCCGCGAAGTGGACCCCCTCGACTTCGCCGTCGTCACCGTCTCTGCCATCCACGCAGGCGATGCGGAGAACATCATTCCTTCAGAAGCCAACCTCAAACTCAACGTCCGCACCGCGCAACCCCAAACCCGCGAGGATGTGTTGAAATCCATCAGAACCATCATCTCAGCCGAGGCAGCCGCATCTTCAAACCCCAATCAACCCATCCTCACCGCAACCACCAAATTCCCCTTTTTATTCAACGACGCAAGCGTGACTGCTGCGCTCGAAAAATCCTTCTCCCAGCATTTTCCCGTCGGCCAGCAGGGTTATCAGAATGACATTGCGCGACTGCAGGGCAGTGAGGATTTCGGGCTGCTGGCGACGGCGATTGGGAAGCCGAGTTGCTTCTTCTTGTATGGCGGGACGGACCATGCGGTCTATGATAAGGCGGAGAAGGAGGGTAGGATGAAGGAGGATATTCCGGGAAATCACAGTCCGTTTTTTGCTCCGGTGCTGCAGCCGACGCTCACGTGCGGTATGGATGGGTATATCGTTTCTGCATTGACGTTCTTGGGTAAGGGAACATGAGTATGGTTTTGGGGGGGCAGGTGTATACTACTGATGTTGGAGAGATTCTATAGTGTCTTACTTCTCCCTCGATGAAAGGCTTCACTTCAGCAATGACCTGAGCGGAGATATATCAAACAATACGATTCGAGGTTTTTAACCTTAGCTAGTCTTTTTTACCACCGCCAACTTCGACCGAACAGGTACGTTTTGCTGCGGATCCTTGGTATCTGGGAAGCCGACCAGCTCTACGCCCGGCCTGAAGATGACGCAGTGACTACTCCCTCCAAAATGGAACATGCCAATCTGGTCTCCCTC